GGCTCAAGTGGTAGAGCACTAACCTTGAACACAAGAGAGGCTCAGGGACAGAGCCTAGGTCCTGAGTTTAAGCCCCAAGACTGGCAAAACAAAAGAGCAACAACAACAAAAACTCAAAAAAAACAAGGAAACTCAGTTTAAAAGAGATCGATAAAACTGATTTACAATTAACAAAATAAAAGTAGACTTCTAAAGTGAGATATGAATAAGGCACATTACAACCTATGCCACAGAAATTTTTTAAAAGAAGAGGCTATTACAATTATATGCAAACATGTTAGAACTCCTATATGAAATGGATTTTTTTTTTGTCAGTCGTGGGGCATGAACTCTGAGCCTGAGCGCTGTCCCTCAGCTCTTCAGCTCAAGGTTAGCGCTCTACCACTTGAGCTATGGCGCCACTTTCGGTTTTCTGGTGGTTTATTGGAGATAAGAGCTTCACAGACTTTCCCGTCCGGGCTGGCTTTGAACTGCAATCCTCAGATCTCAGCCTCCTGAGTAGCTAGGATTAAAGGTGTGAGCCACTGGCTCCCGGCTGATAAATTTTTGAATATGGCTGATAAATTCTTGAATATGCACAACCTAATCCAAGTTTTGACAGATCAAGATTAAACAGAAAACCAAAACCAATCTATAAAAAGCATGGAGATTGGGCTGGGAAGGTGGCTCAGTGGTAGAGCACTTGCCTTGCATGCCTGAGGCTCTGGGTTCGATTCCTCAGCACCACATAAGCAAAAAGAAAAAAGCCGGAAGTGGCGCTGTGGCTCAAGTGGTAGAGCGCTAGCCTTCAGCTGAAGAGCTGAGGGACAGTGCCCAGGCCCAGAGTTCAGGCCCCATGACTGGACTCCCCCCCCCCCCCCAAAAAAAAAAAGCATGGAGATTGATTCAAGTCACAATCTCTAAACATGGGGGTACACATCTGTGTGGCAGGAAGATCATTAATTCAAGACCAAGTTTCTTTGATTAGAGAAATTCTGATTTTTTGTGTGTGCATACCCACTGTGTGCATGCGTGTGTGTTACTCCTGGGACTTGAACTCAGGACCTCAGTGCTGTTCTGTGCTTTTTTTTTTTTTGGGTCCGGTTGTGGGGCCTGAACTAGGGGCCTGGGTGCTGTCCCTCAGCTCTTCAGCTCAAGGCTAGCGCTCTACCACTTGAGCCACAGCGCCATTTCTGGCTTTTTTCTTATGTGGTGCTGAGGAATTGAACCCAGGGCCTCAGGCATGCAAGGCAAGCACTCTACCACTGAGTCACCTTCCCAGCCCCTTGTGCTTTTGTTTTGTTCAAGGATAGTGCTCTACCACTTGAGCCACAGCTCTACTTCTGGCTTTTTTCTAGTGGTTAATTGAAGGTAATAGTATCATAGACTTTCCTATCCAGGCTAGCTACAAACTACAATCCTCAGGTCTCAGCCTCCTAAGTAACTAGTATTTACAGGTGTAAGCCACCATTATCTAGTGACAGAACTATTTTTATCTACCTTACATACTGAACTTCAATGAAAACTTTTTTCTAAAGCAGTAGGAAACTGCTGAAGCATGTAAGCCTGAGCGTAACAGACTAAATATGTGTTTTACAAAGGTAACAGGTAACAGTGTGAGGAACTAGAGACTGGAATCTGCATTGTCGTTTTCCAAATGAAGGGATTATAAAAGGCTTATACTAAAGCCAAACAGATTAAGGGGTCGTGTTTTAAAAATAATCACACCAAGATTTAGTGCATAACTAAAAGCATTAAATGGTACAGCAAGGAGCTGAATATGATTTTGAAACACTAACTTGGATAACTAGTTAGAAAGTTATGCCACTAAAAAACGATGAGAGGGGCTAGGAAGGTGGCTCAGTGGTAGAGCACTTGCCTTGCATGTATGAAGCCCTGGGTTCAATTTCTCAGCACCACATAAGCTGAAAAAGCTGCAAGTGGCGCTACAACTCAAATGGTAGAGTGCTAGCTTTGCGCTAGAGCTGAGGGACAGTGCCCAAGTCCAGAGTTCAGGTCCCACAATCGGCCAAAAAAAAAAAAAAGAGAAAAGCCAGGTGTCTGTGGCTCACAACTGTAATCCTAGCTGCTCAAGAGGCTGAGATTTGAGGGTTACAGTTTGCAGCAAGCCAGTAACAGTAAAGTCTTGAGACTCTTATTTCAAATTAAACAACAACAACAACAAAGCCAGAAGTGGAGCTGTGGCTCAAGTGATAGAGTAATAGCACTGAGCACAAAAGCACAGGAAGGGTGCCCAAGCCCTGAGTTTAAGTCTCAGGAAGAGTACAAAAAAAAAAAAAAAAAAAGAAAAAAAAAGTAATTAAAGTTCAAAACAATAGCCATGAACTTCTTAATATTTAATATAAACTAATCCCTATGATAGTGACTATTAAAAAATTTTTCTGCCGGGCGCTGGTGGCTCACGCCTGTAATCCTAGCTACTCAGGAGGCTGAGATCTGAGGATCGCGGTTCAAAGCAGGAGAGACCGTGAGACTTCTATCTCCAATAAACCACCAGAAAACCGGAAGTGGCGCTGTGGCTCAAGTGGTAAAGCGCTTGCCTTGAGCTGAAGAGCTGAGGGACAGCGCCCAGGCCCAGAGTTCAAGCCCCACGACCGACAAAAAAAAAAAAAAATTTTCTCAGGCTCAGAATGTGGCTTAGTGGTAAAATGCTTGCCAAGCATGCATGATATCCCAGGTTCAATTCCTCAGTACCACTTACTCGAGTGGCTCAAATGGCAGAGTGCTAGCCTTGAGCAAAAAAGCAGCTCAGGGACAGTACCCAGGCCCAGGACTGGTCCAAAAAAGTTTTTATCAATATGAATAAGAAGATAAATTTTGCTTGGAGCTTAATGAATATAGATGAATACAGGCAAGTATGAATGACTAAAAAGTTGATATAAATCTCTTTTTGAATAAAGATGAACTACTTTACCTTTTCCAGGTTTATATTTGAGATGGAAAGGCTGATTCTGCCAGATATAAGGGGCCAGCATAGGTGCAAACTGGGTCATTATTCTCTCAATATACTTCTGAAGAATCTCTTTGTGGTCCCCTGGGCTTCTGGCTTCATCTGGCAGAAGGAATAAGCTGTATTCCACTGTATCTTCCATAGTAGTGAGTTTCATATTTTTCTCCATTCTTCAAAAATTACACATAAAGTTTTAATAATGTAAGCCACATCAAACAATTCTGAAATAATAACTCATTCTAGGTGATTCCATTCATGTTTCCAAACTTCTGATAACCACCTACCAATATTAATTTCAGCCTTGACCATAAACTTTATTTAATATTATTCTTTTTAATAACATTTTATACTTAAACCTGTTCTTTATATTTAAAATTATGCTAACTGGAAACTTTGACATTTTTACACCAAATTGAAATCTAATATCACATTTCTAAATTAGCTAATCAGTATGAAGAAAAATTTAAATGTGGCTACATTTTGACACTGCAATCTCAGTCACTGGGTGTGCTTCAGATATATAACCAGAGCTATGCTGGAGGTATGGGTAGAAGATATCTACCAGAGCCTGCTGAAGCTCTACCTGAAAAATGAGGCAAAAAAGAGTTGGGAACACAGTAAAGTGCCTACTTAGCAAGTGAGTGGCTCTAAATTAAAATCTAAGTACCACTACAAGGGGAAAAAATGTGGCTAAATGTAATTAGTGTGCCTATAATCCTGCCACTCAGGATACAGAGACAGGGGGATGATTTCAGTTCTGTGCAGGGCCAGCCTAGGCAAATAAATGTTTGCCTTTGAAGTAGCAGTGCATGTGTAAAAACCCCTGTAAGGTCCGCTTCTTACTCGGCTATCTCTTTTTAAAAACCTAACAACCCCCAGTTCTCACACTAAATTGCATCACTTTGTATACTTAAAATTTTTTCTTTTTCTTCCTTTTTTTTTTTTTTTTGATACAAAGACTTGAACTCAGGGCCTGGTACTCTCTCAGGCTTTTTCTACTCCAGCTAGGACTCTATCACTGTGCCATTCCTCCAATCCTTCATTTTCTCTTTCTGGAGCTTTGTCTTACTTGTTGAATAGAGATGTTACACATCTAAAACCCGTTGCTGCTTTAAAATTGTGTTTTCTATGTCTTACAGAATATGCTTCTGGTTTCTAACAGGTAGAGCAGAGAGCTTTTTCTCCTCGCCGGTTGGGGTTTGAACTCAGGCCCGGACGCTGTCCCTAAGCTTTTTGGGCTAGTGCTCCACCACTTTGTGGCCACAGCGCTAATCCCGTTTTTGACTGATTTATTGGAGACACAGGGTCTCACGGGGACTTTTCTGCCGGGGCTGGCTTCGAACCGTGATCCTCAGATCTCAGGCGCTGAGTAGCTAGGATCGCAGGCGTGAGCCACCGGCGCCCGGCTGAGAGCGCTTACATTGGAAGGAATTTTCTAACCCGCTTACTCTTGCTGTCCGGCGCAGCAAGTGAGAGGCAGGCACTGCGCCCGGACGCGGCCAGGTGAGCAGTAAGCTAACGCATCTTTCTGGCGCGCTGGTGGGGAGCCGGCATCTTCTATCCGGCCACCCACCCAAATCACTACACCGCCTCACCGCCCACAGCGAACAGAAACTCCACCCCCGCCCACCCCAGCCCACAGCGCCCGGCACCCCGACTGCGGAGGCTCGGCGGCTCTCGGCCGTGCGAGAGGCCCGCGAGCACCCGAAGCCAGCCAGCCGCGAGGGTCCGACGGAAGCCGGTGCTTCCAACTCCGAGAAGGCTCCCTCCACTGTTCCGAGGCTTCTCCCGCACTCTTCTGCCCTGGCACCTGTGTCTGCTGTCTCTCCCACGGAGAGGCCGCCCGGAACGAGCCGGTCGCCTCACGACCGCCGCGCCTCACAGCCTCACAACCCTCCCTCAGGGCCTCACCAGCCGGCGGCAGCCGGGGGAGAAAGCGGGAAGCCCGTTAGGCCCCGGAAGCTTAGGTGTCATTACTCCTGCGCGTCCCCGGAAGGACTTGGAGGATGCTGTGTGCGTCACTTCCGCTCCCGCGGGGAAGCTGGGAGGTGGGAGACTGGGGAGGTGGGCACTCAGGAGTGGTGCCGACCCGGAGTCTAGGCGACGGGGCGAGACGGAGCCGGTAGGTGGCAGGAGAGCGCCGGGTCGGAGCCGGAGCGAGGGCCAGGCCCGGACGCCCCCACCCTGGCGTACCCGCCCCGGTCGCGCTCGCGGCTGAGGAGGCGGAGGATGATCTCCAGATACACTCGGAAAGCTGTGCCGCAGAGCTTGGAGCTGTGAGTGAACGGCGCGGCCCTGGGCGGGCCGCGGGGGGCGGAGCGGGGGCCAGACGGGCGGCTGGAGCCGGCCGCGGGCGTCCGAGGGACGCTCCCTGCCCAGCCCTTCGCTCCTTTCCTCGCTCAGTCGCTTCTCCCTCCTTCACCAGCCGGGGGAGGGGGACGTGCCACCCGTGTGATCCGATCCTCACTTGGCCTTGGGCTGTACCAACTGAATTCAGAAAGTCCATTTCTCCCTACTGTCTGTGGCTACCTACAACTCCAGAAGTTATTCCTAGAGGAATGTTACAGTAGAGTTGAATGCAGCTGGAGGCAGACTCGTGCAAAGATGCTTACAGGCATAAATTCATTTAATCCTATCAGCGAGGATAGCAGATTGACTATTATTTTGCACACTATACAAATAAAGACTATAGATCTAAACATTGTAGTGTGTCAAACGTAACACAGCCAACCAGGAAGGAGGTGGTCGCCCTGAGAGGTACAACCTGATGTTGAACTGATTCTAATAGAGCGCGACTGTGGTCAGGACCATTATACATACTGCCTGGCAACTCTTAAGCATCAAGAGGATCAGTTTTTGGGCTGGGAAGGTGGCTCAGTGGTAGAGCGCTTGCCTTGCATACATGAGGCCCTGGGTTCTATTCCTCAGCACCACATAAGCAGAAAAAAAAAAAGGCCCGAAGTGGCACACAGGTGGTAGAGCACTCGCCTTGAGCTGAAGAGCTGAGGGACAGTGCCCAGGCCCAGAGTTCAGGCCCCACGACCGGACCCCCCAAAAAAGAGGATCTGTTTCTTTGTTTGTTTTTTGCTCCTGAGTCACTGTCCCTTAGCATTTGCCTTTAAGGTTGATGCTCTACCACTTGAACACTTTTTACTTTTTGCTGGTAAATTGGAGAACATTTGAATTTGTGACTAATTTTGGTTAATGTTGTAACTAGTTTGTTTCGTTTTAATATGTGATATCTTACTATATTTTCAATTTGCAATGAAAATAGTTTAACTCAGCATATCTAAAATATTATTTTATTTTATTTTTATTTTATTTTATTTGTGAAAATACTGTACAGAGGGGTTACAATTAAATAGGCAGGATAATGCGTACATTTCTTACCAAGCATTGCAGCCTCCTCCTTTGGTTTACCCTTCACATCCCTTCCCAGCCTCCCCCCTCCCCCCCAATCCCAATCCTTCTCCTTAACCCCCCTTCCCCCCCCCCCCAACGTTGTAAAATATTATTTTAATATGTATTAAAGATAACAAAACTTATCACAACAAACTCCAGAAAATGGAAATGAAGTTTTTTCTTTTTTCTTTTGTCGGTCGTGGGGCTTGAACTCTGGGCCTGGGCGCTGTCCCTCAGCTCTTCAGCTCAAGGCGATTGCTCTACCACTTGAGCTACAGCACCACTTCCTGTTTTTGGTGGTTTATTGGAGATAGGAGTCTCACGGTCTTTCCTGCCCGGGCTGGCTTTGAACCGCAATCCTCAGATCTCAGCCTCCTGAGTAGCTAGGATTACAGGCGTGAGCCACCATCTCCCGGCTCTTTATTTTTTTTTAATTTTATTTTTGGGTCTGGTCGTGGAGCCTGACTCTGGGCCTGGGAGCTGTCCCTCAGCTTTCAGCTCAAGGCTAGCGCTCTACCACTTGAGCCACAGCGCCACTTCCAGCTTTTTTTCTTTTTGCTTATGTGGTGCTGGAGAATCGAACCCAGGGCCTCATGCATGCAAGGCAAGCGCTCTACCACTGAGCCAACTTCCCAGCCCCATGAAGTTTTTTCTTTATTGCTGTTTTTGTTTTCTTTTTTTCTTGTTTGTTCATTTATGTCCCTTTGGGAGGGTAAGGGGAGACAGAAATGCAGGGACAAAGCATGAACAAAAACAGCAATGGTACTCAGTAGACACTATGTTGAAAATGAACTATAGAACTTGTGGGTGGAGATGGGAGGGAAAAACTAGGAGAGAGCTGAGGAAGGAGTGACATTGTCCAAAAAGAAATGTACGTTTTACCTGACATATCTGTAACCCCTCAGTACATCACCTTTATAAAAACAACTTTAAAAAAGAAAGAAGATGATAAAATTTTGCTATAGTATTCTTTGTTTTCCTAAGACTCTGAAACCCAATATGTTGTACACTTATAACACAATTCTAATGAGCCATAGTGTAACTGGCTGGTGGCTACACTAGACAGCACAGTTGTAGAGTGGCAGAAGGTAGGTGACTAACTTCCAAATCAAGTTACTAGAAAGTATTTTCTGTTTGCAAGAAATATAACTTTGGAAGTGGTATTGTGGCTCAAGAGGTAGAGTGCTTGCCTTAAGCTGAAGAGCTAGGGACAGCTCCCAGGCCCAGAGTTCAAGCCCCACGACTGAAAAAAACATATATATAACTGCTTTATTTTTCACAGGAAAGGAATTACCAAACCTGCTCTTAATCATCATCCTCTTCCAGAGAAAGTGGATGAAGTCTCCTCTCCCAATGACAGCCATGAAAAGGATACAAGTTCTCAAAGGTAATAACACAGTGTACTTGTTTGCTTGCTTATTGCACTTGTCAATGGCAAAGGTTTTTTGTTTTGTTTTGAAGTAAGTGGTATCAAACCTGTGCTAATAAAACAATGTCTATGACTTGGAGAAGCTTACACAGAGAACTGCCTGAGCCTATGAATTCAAGGACATCCTGGCAATAGTGTCAGACATTTTCAGTACTATCACTGCTATTTAATTTTCACTCTGGGTTAGCTGTTTGCAACAACATTATTTATTTTCATAATATTTGAGAATTGATTATGAAGTAGTTAGGAAGTTAGATGCAGGAGATGTCTGGTATCTGATTTTCAATCCTAGTCCTGTTGTTTATTTGCTGAATAATTTGGGGCAAATTACTTGGCAATGTATCATATCTATATGATGTTATGACTAAATGAAACATATACTTAAAAAAAGTATGTATGGCTTGACACCCTGTTTAGCATCTATAGTAGCTGCTGAGTAAATATTAACTGAATTTTTTGTTGCTTTTTAATTTTTTGTATATACAGAGGGATTATAGTTACATGAGTAAGGTAATGAGTACATTTCCTATCAAGCGTTTTACCTTCTCCTTTTTTTCCCCCTGCTATCACTTCCTTCCCCACCTCCCCATTAACTGCAATTATTGCTTTAAGAAATACAAATCAAGGGGCTGGGAAGGTGGCTCAGTGGTAGAGCACTTGCCTTGCATGCATGAGGCCCTGGGTTCAATTCCTCAGCACCACATAAGCAAAAAGAAAAAAGCCGGAAGTGGTGATGTGGCTCAAGTGGTAGAGTGCTAGCCTTGAGCTGAAGAGCTGAAGGACAGTGCCCAGGCCCAGAGTTAGGCCCCACAACCGGACCCAAATTGCTTTAAGAAATACAAATCAAGCCGGGCGCCAGTGGCTCACGCCTATAATCCTAGTTACTCAGGAGGCTGAGATCTGAGGATCTTGGTTCAAAGCCAGCCCAGGCAGGAAAGTCCATGAGACTCTTATTTCCAATAAAAACCACTAGAAAACCAGAAGTGGCGCTGTGGCTCAAGCGGTAGAGCGCTCGCCTTGAGCTGAAGAGCGCAGGGACAGCACCCAAGCCCAGAGTTCAAGCCCCACAACTGACCAAAACAAAAACAAAAACAAATCACCTGGGTACCAGTGGCAAATAACTACAGTCTAGCTGCTCAGGGGCTAAGGATCAAAGTTAGAAGCTAGCCCAGACAGCCAAATCTAAGAGACTTTTGTTTCTAATTAACTAGCAAAAGGCTAGAACTGGAGGTGTGGCTCAAGCAACGGAGTGCCAGCTGTGAACAAGAAAAGCTGACAGCTAAGTTCAAGTCCCAGTAGAGCAAGACCCTACCTTGAAAATAACTGATGTAAAAAGGGCACAAAGCAAGTGGTAGAGCACCTGCTTAGCTAGCACAAGCAAGCACAAGAAAGCAATGTTATCACAGAAAAAATACAAGGTATAAAAACAGGTTTTAAAACCTCAAACCAAATCTCTAATTCTTTGTTTTTTAAGTGAAACTGGTTAGGGTCTACATCATATGTAGTAACAAAGATTAAATGAGATTAAGATCTGCAAAAGTACTCAGTAAACTATTAAAGTGTCATAACTTGAGAAACTCCATATATTTCTGACTGGATACATAAATGACATGCTAAATTATAACCCCTATGTACAACCATTGGAAGATTAAAAATAAACAGCTGGAGCTGGTGATTCAGGCCTGTAATTCTAGCTACTCAGGAGACTGAGATCTGAGATCAAAGCCAGCCCCAGAAGGAAAGTCTATGAGATTATCTCCAGTTTACACCAGAAAACCAGAAGTGGCTGTGACTCAAAGTAGTAGAGCACTAGCCTTGAGAAAAAGAGCTCAGGGACAGTGCCCAGACCCTGAGTTCAAGCCCCATAACTGACTAAATAAATAAATATGTCTGAAATACCTTTAGAAATAATTAGAGTATGTTATATAGTACTAACTACTCATTGTAAACTATGAATATAATTATTTGTAATGGCTGCCACCAATTCTATAGAAATTAGGTAGGATTTTCCTATACATCTTGAATTTCAAGTTCTTTTTTTCTTGTTCCTTTGATATTGTACTTATGCTTATAACCTGATACGTTGCAGAAATTTGAGGAAAGTTGAGAATTTTTCTTTTTCTTTCTTCCTCCCAAATTCTGCATTTAGTGAGTCTGACATCACCCAAGAATCACCTTATACATCAACCGACACTGGGAATTCAAGGTCTGCTTTTCCAAGTTATACAGGCACAGAAGGCAGCTCAGACTTCTCCTGGGGATATGGTGTGAGTTGTATGTGAATCAGTCTCATGGAATCTGTGGGAGATACTCTGGGAATTAGAATTTATCAGTATATTTGATTTCCTCTCTCTTCTGTATTGTTCACTTACATCTTAATTTTTAAATTTTTTCACACTTTGTAACATTTGCAAAGAAGCATTAATCCTTAGCTTTCTTCAATATTTGCTGTGTTTTATTGATACAGTAGTTGAGCTTTAGAGATGCTTAATGTTTGACTTAAAAAGCTGCTGGCTCTAGACTCTGAAGCCACCCTGTTAACATATTAAGTCTACTAATGAACCTCTCTATTACTTTCCTTTAAAATGTTATTAAATGAAAACAGGCAGGTGAAAAATAGCATGTAGATTGTGGTTCTAATTTTGCTTTTACATTTTTTTTTTTTTTTTGCTTTCCATATATTAAGAAAACTGAGGATATTTGCACAAAATGTTATCCAGTTTTTTGGGGAAACCAGTTCTGGGACTTGAACTCAGGGCACTGTCCCTGAGCATCTTTTGCTCAAGGCTAGCACTCTACCACTTCAGCCACAGCACCACTTCCATCTTTTTCTGTTTATGTGGTACTGAGGAATTAAACCATAGCTTCATGCATGCTAGGCAAGCACTCTGCCATTAAGCCACATTCCCAGCCCGAATTATTTAAAAAAAATATAACCTTAAAAGAAAATTTAAAAGACCAATTTTATGTGATTCATCACTGTGCTTCAATAGGTATTTTTAACTCAATATCTCTTTCAGTCTGTATTAATCAAATTGATTATAATCAATTGTCATAATGAAATTGAAAACTTTCTTTTTTTTTTTTTTTTTTTGGTCCAGTCGTGGGACCTGAATTCTGGGCCTGGGCACTGTCCTTCAGCTCTTCAGCTTAAGGCTAGCGCTCTGCCACTTGAGCCACAGTGCCACTTCTGGCTTTTTTCTTTTTGCTTATGTGGTGCTGAGGAATTGAACCCAGGGCCTCATGCATGCAAGGCAAGTGCTCTACCACTGAGCCACCTTCCCAGCCCCGAAATTGAAAACTTTCAATGTACACATTTCATACCTTACAAAAATTGCTAAATCCTTTTGAAAAGATTGACAATAAGCTAGCAGGGTACGAGCCTATTATACAAGTTACTTGGAGATGTGAGGCAGAAGGATCACATGTTTGAGGTCAGCTTGGACAACTGAAAAAGATCCAATTTCAAAATAAAAAATAAGGGTAGGAGTACTGCTTAGTAATAGGCTGCATTTCTTAGTGTGCAAGAGACCGCAGGACCAAACAAACAAAAACTGAAAGCATAAAACAAGGCTCAGCAGTTAAATGACTGGCAAGCAGATAGCCCTGGTTGACACCCCAGTTACAATCCTAAAAAAGTTATTGAAGGTTTAAAACAAAGCAGGTAGTGGTTTTAGTTTAAAAACAGGAAGATAATTAAGAACCAATTAAAACTCTTAGAAGTAAATAGTACTTGAAATTTCTCAATAGATAGGGAATAGTAAAACCAAATAGTAGTGAACTGAAGGATAGAATTAAGAGAGACAGCTAAAGACTGAGAAATGGAAGAGTTGCTTAGAGACATGGAAAATGAATAAGCAGCAGCAAGCTACTCAGGTGGCTGAGATCTGAGGATCATGACTTGAAGCCAGCCTGGGCAGAAAAATCCTTGTGAAACTCTTATCTCCAATTAACCACTCAAAAATCAGAAATCTTTTTTTTTGGGGGGGGGGGGGAGCCGGTCATGGGGCCTGAACTCTGGGCCTGGGTGCTGTCCCTCAGCTCTTCAGCTCAAGGCTAGCGCTCTACCACTTAAGCCACAGTGCCACTTCCGGCTTTTTTTTTCTGCTTATGTGGTGCTGAGGAATCGAACCCAGGGCCTCATGCATGCAAGGCAAGCACTCTACCACTGAGCCACCTTCCCAGCCCAAAAATCAGAAATCTTATCTCCAATTAACCATTCAAAAATGAGTAGTGAAAAGTGGTAAAGAGCTAGCCTTAGCAAAAGAGCTCAGAGACATGGCTCAGATCCTGAGTTCAAGCCCCACAATGGCCAAAAACAAACAAACAAAAAAACAGCAATGTATTTCTAATAGATGTTTACAAAGAGATTGGGAAAGAAACATTCTCAGGTAAAGTTCTACTAGACAGAGGCTGATTTACATTCTTACAGAGTGAGAATACATAGTTCTCATATTACACTTTTAAAAAGAGGTACAACTTTTCTTCCAGTTGTATATAAAACAGTACATAAATATAGATTCAGTAAAGGGTATCATGGAATCATAACATGATCAGCTCTGCATTTTATAGTCATTCCTAAGACTTTCTTGAAAGGATGGATTATGGGAGCAAGGATATAACATTATCAAGTAGAAGATGCATAATATAAAGTAACATATACAGATGTGTCTATCTTTTGCCATAAAAAAACCTATTGGTAGCTCCAATTGCTACTGAAATTAGTTGTCATTAAGGAAAGGTTGAGTGCCATATGCCTATAGTTCCAATTACTCAGGAGGCTGAGGCAAGTAGACAGCCTGAGTCCCCAGGAGTTTGAGGCAGCTTGAGCAATACAGTAAGATCCAATTCTTAGGTACACAATAAAGTTGACCATGATTAATTCAGTTATGAAATTAAAGATAGTTTATTCTTTCTTTACGCTGTTCTGTATTGTCCAAATATTTATAATAAACTTTCTATAATGAAAATGTGATTTTAAGAAATAGATATTTCTGTGGGGGAAAATGAAGGGGTGACATTGTCCAAAAAAAAAAGAAATATACTCATTACCTGACTAATGAAAAAATTATACTTTATTTTTATTTATTATTTTGGTCAGTTATGGGGCTTGAATTCAAAGGGCCTGGGCACTCACTGTCCCTGGGAGCTCTTTTGCTCAAGGCTAGTGCACTACCACTTTAAGCCACAGCGCCATTTCCGGTTTTCTGGTGGTTAATTGGAGATAAATCTCATGGACTTTCCTGTCTGGGCTGCTTTAAACTGTGATCCTCTCATTTCAGGCACCTGCGTAGCTAGGATTACAGGCATGGGCCACAGGTACTCAGCGAAAATTATATTTTAGAAATAGGTGCTTCTGTAAATCTTTGTTGGAATTGAAAGAACATTTGAAAATTCCATGAGATCACAAAAGCTGCCTGACTTTTCTTTCATGTAAATACAATAATATTTCAATGGGACTAAATATTTAAAGCAAAATCTGTGTGTTTTCTGAGTACAAACAGCTTGAATTCAGGACCCTGTGCTTTGGCTTCACTTTTTCACTCATGGCTGGTACTCTACCATTTAAGTCATACCTCCAGTCCAGTTTTGTTTTTGTTTTAATTTACTGCTTAATTGGAGGTAGGAGTCTAGGATTTTTCTGCCCAGCCTGCCTTTAAACAATGATCCTCAGTTCTAAGTAGCTAGGATTATAGGCATGAGCCACTGATACCCCATTTTATATACTTTCTTTATAGAGGGTCAAGCTTATCTAAACATTTGAGGGGTATATTTCCTTCTAGGAACTTGACCAAAATGCCACTGAAAAAGTGCAGGCAATGTTTATGGCTATTGATGAGCTCCTGTATGAGAAGAAGTCGAGTTTGCATACCGTGAGCCTACAGGAAGAATGCCAACAGTGGACTTCTAGCTTTCCTCACCTCAGGTACTCAAGCCCAACCTGTATTTGTGGCGAAGACTAAAATTTCAAAAGTGTGTCTGAAACTTTTAGGAACATGTTTCCTAATGGGCATGTCTTTAGTGAATGTAAATATGATATGTGATGTAAAGTCTTAGTTGAGAAAAAACTCTTAATTGGTGCAAGTTTCTTCATTAAGTAAAGTAGCTGAGATATGAGTATAAGGGATGTGTGAAGATCCCATGTTTGTATAAGATGATCAGAATATGTATTTCTTTACACAGATACACTTTATTGCTGCAAGTCAGTTCTCAAGTGTTCTTGAAAGCAGACATGTGGCAATTCAGGAGCTTCTCTGAGAAATCTCAATTGTACCATTTAATATACAGACTTTCATAAGGTTCCTTGTTTCTAAGAAAATCATTCAGCCGGGCGCTGGTGGCTCACACCTGTAATCCTAGCTACTCAGAAGGCTGAGATCTGAGGATCATGGTTCAAAGCCAGCCCGGGAAGGAAAGTCCATGAGACTCTCATCTCAAATTAACCACCAGAAAACTGGAAGTGCTGCTGTGGCTCAAGGGGTAGAACGCTCACCTTGAGCTGAAGAGCTGAGGGACAGCACCCTACTAGCCCCACTACCCCAAAAAAAAAAAAAAAATCACTCATAGCTTTCATTACTTTGGCTGTACATTCATTCATTTTGGCTGATTTAATTCAGATTAAAATAGTAGAATGAAAGATATAGAGAATGAAAGATAAGGGCTGGGAAGGTGACTCAGTGGTAGAGCGCTTGCCTTGCATGCCTGAGGCCCTGGGTGTTTGATTCCTTAGCACCACATAAGCAAAAAGAAAAAAAAAAGCTGGAAGTGGCGCTGTGGCTCAGGTGGTAGAGCTCTAGCCTTGAGCTGAAGAGCTGAGGCCAAGGCCCAGAGTTTAGGCCCCACGACCGGACCCCCAAAAAAAAAAAAAAAAAGATACAAATGTTTGGTCAGCTTCCTTGTCTTATTTTTTTATTTTTCTTTGAACTTTTTTTAACCCCTGAGGTTTATCTTTTCCATTATATCACAGAAAGACATACCTGTAGTAAAGACACACATTTTCTCCCAGGATTCCTTTTTAGTTAGCACTAGTCTAAGTATATATGGGATTTCTGTGTTAGTACATTTATTTCAAATATGCCTAGATGTTTTAATGTGACTAAGCATAATTGTGTGTGTTTCTTCATTTTGAAGGATTCTGGGTAGGCAAATAATCACTCCAAGTGAAGGGTATGGATTGTATCCTAGATCTCCTTCCACTGTTTCAGCTTTACATGAAGCAGCCTTGTCTCAAGAAAGAGATTCTGCTTTGTAAGTATTCTATTATACACTTCTATATCCTAGCATGCCAACTGCATTAAAAGAATGATATTTCTTTTTATTTATAGATATTAGGTGAACACAGAAGATTCTGTAAGATTGGTCATAATCTTTGTTTATATCAAAATTTTGTCATATATGTTTGTTTATTTATTGTCGATTGTGGGGCTTGAACTCTGGGCTTGGGCGCTGTCCCTCAGCTCTTCAGCTCAAGGCGAGCACTCTACCACTTGAGCTACAGCGCCACTTCCAGTTTTCTGGTGGCTTATTGGAGATAGGAGTCTCATGGACTTTCCTGCCCAGGCTGGCTTTGAACCACGATCAGATCTCAGTCTCCTGAGTAGCTAGAATTACAGGCGTGAGCCACCAGCACCCGGCCATATATGTATATTTATAATGTACATATACATATTTAAAATATACATATAATATACATATACATTTATAATAATCAGATTTGAACTAAAGGTCTCAGGCTTACTAGGCAGCTGCTTCTACCTTTCAGGAAGGGCTTTACAGACCCTTGATCCTCCCATCTGCAACAAATAAACCACCACACTTGGTTTATTTTTTGAAATGATGTCTTGCTTTTTCCCAGGCTGACCTAGAATCTTGATTTTCCAGATCTCTGCCTCCCATATAGTGGCATAATAGATTGTGCCACCATATCTGACCCTGTTATGTAATTTTTTTCTTACTCAAAAAGTTAAAACAGGTGTTGGGAAGGTGGCTCAGTGGTAGAGTGCTTGTCTTGCATGCATGAGGCTCTGGGTTCAATTCCTCAGCACCACATAAGCAGAAAAAGAAGGAAGTGGTGCTGTAGCTCAAGTAGTAGCACTAGCCTTGAGCTGAATTACTGAGGGACAGCACCCAGGCCCAGAGTTCAAGCCCCACAACCAACAATAACAACCAAAAAAAAAAAATTTAAACAACTTGGGACATGGAGAGTGAGACTATTACATTTAGAAGTCCCAGGAAGAAAGTTAAGCAGTCCCTATCTTGGCCAACAAGCTGGGTGGCTCAAATCTATATTTAAAGCAACACAATAAGTAAATGTAAGAATTTTTTTTTTAAGTAGTACTGTATAGACAGTAGAATCTAGGTCCCAGGCCTGTCCCAGACAAAAATTTGAGAACTTATCCAAAACATAAAAAAGATGGGCTGGGAAGGTGGCTCCAGTGGTAGAGCGCTTGCCTTGCATGCCTGAGGCCCTGGGTTCAATTCCTCAGCACCACATAAGCAAAAAGAAAAAAGCCGCAAGTGGCGCTGTGGCTCAAGTGGTAGAGTGCTAGCCTTGAGCTGAAGAGCTTAGGGACAGCGCCCAGGCCCAGAGTTCAGGCCCCACGACCGCCCCCCCCCCCCAAAAAAAAAAAAACATAAAAAAGAACTGGGGACATGGCTCACATGGTAGTTAGTATGTTAACCCAGCAAATACAAGACCAGAGTTAAAACCCCACAATGCCTAAAAAATTAATAGGAATAACACAGAAAAGCTTTTAAGTAGTAAGAAGACCTGAGTTCAATGCAGAGTACCACCAAAAAGAAAAGAAAAATAGCAGAGGCAAGAATACTGCAGTTTCAGGTCAGTCCTGGCAAGTGTGAAGCGCTACATACAAACAAGCAACCCTTAAAGCAAAAGAAGTAGCCAGGGGCTGGGAAGTTGGCTCAGTGGTAGAGCGCTTGCCATGCGTGCCTGAGGCCCTGGATTCGATTCCTCAGCACCACATAAGAAAAAAGCCGGAAGTGGCGCTGTGGCTCAAGTGGTAGAGCGCTAGTCTTGAGCTGAAGAGCTGAGGGACAGCACCCAAGCCCAGAGTTCAGGCCCCACGACCGGACCCAAAAAAAAAAAAAAAAAAGAAGTAGTCAGTCACTGGTGGCTCATGCCTGTAATCCTAGCTACACAAGAGGCTGAAATCTGAGGATAGAAACTCAAAGCCAGCCCAGACAGGAAAGTTCATGAGACCCTTACCTCCAATTAACCACTCTGGGCCTGAGCGCTGTCCCTCAGCTCTTCAGCTCAGGGCTAGTGCTCTACCACTTGAGCTACAGTGCCACTTCCGGTTTTCTGGTGGTTTATTAGATAAGTCTCATGGATTTTTCTGCCTGGGCTAGCTTTGAATGGTGATCCTCAGATCTCAGCCTCCTAAGTGGCTAGGATTACAGGTGTGAGCCACTGGTGCCTGGCTCCATGAGAATCAGATTTAAAGATTTTTAGAAACAGGAAATGGTGGTATAGCTCAAGTAATAAAGTACCACCCTTCAGCAGAAAAGTCAAGGAAGAGTATGAGGCCCAGGAAAAAAAAAGGGGGAGGGTGGTTGGGGCAAAAGGTCTGCTTTAAAAACTTTAAGAAACAGTAAATGCCAGCTGGGAGCTAGGATGACAGCTCACGCTACTCAGGAGACTGAGATCTGAGGATCGTGGTTCAAAGCCAGCCTGGGCAGGAAAGTCCATGGGACTCCTATCTCCAATAAACCACCAGAAAACTGGAAGTGGCGCTGTAGCTCAAGTGGTAGAGCACTAGCCTTGAGCTAAAGAGCTGAGGGACAGTGCTCAGGCCCAGAGTTCAAGCCCCACGACCGACAAAAAAAAAAAGAAAAAGAAAGAAACAGTAATGCCAGCTGGTTGAGACATGGTTGTCCAGATTATTTCTTTCTCTCCCCCTTCTTTCCTCTTCTGCTATTCTCAGCTCTTGGTCCATTTTTTCAGTGGCTTCTCAACCACATTAACCTTCTACTACCTATTAACCTACTACCTACTACCTACTCCCTTATAGCCAACAGGTCCCTTTTTGAACAGTCCTTTTTACAGTCCTACATAATCCTTTTGCTCATCTTTTTTACTATATCTGTCAACAAGGTAGCTGGGAAATGTAGTTCTTTGAGGATGTATTGCCTGCCTGAATTAAATCACAATAATTACTAGGAAAAGGGAAAAATGGATTGAGGTGCATCGTGCATTCTCCAAGATGTTTATAGTTTTTATGAAACTCCCGTACAAATTTTGTGATCTTTCTATACTTAACACTTTATTAGGAACATCTTCTATTTTTCTTCAATAGTGACTCAATACCATTTATAAATGCATTATTACTTGAGCAACTGTCCTCATATCTTTCACATGTGGGCTAGTTTTGGTTTTTGACAATTATAAACAATTCTTTGATGAGATGCTTTTGTGTGGGATGGAGGATGGTTATTGGAAGTTGAAGGCAGGACCTTGAGTATGCTAAGCACACTCTCCACCATTATAATCCTTACTCCTCTATAGTTCTTATAGCTAAATCTTAAAAAAGGTCACTACAAATGAAATCATTGAATCAAAGGGTATGTTTATTTTCTATTTATTTTGGGGAGCAGTATTGGGAATTGGAATCAAGACCTCAAACTTGCTAGACAGGTGCTCTACCACTGGGGTATATCTATCTCTCTGGCCTTTTTTCATTGGTTATTTTTGAGGTAGGGTCTTGATTTTTTGCCTGGGTGGCCTAGGGTACAGTCCTCCCATTTATACTTCCCTATGTCATTAGGGGGTGATAGGTATTCACCACTGTACCCAGTCATTAGTTGAGATGGAGGCTTACAAACCTCTTTTTCTGGCTACCTTTGAAGTAATTAGGATTATAAGCTTAAGCCACTATCCTCAGCAAGGGTATATTTATTTTGAGACTTCAAATACATATTCCAAAATGTCTTCTAAAAGATTTCTGTGTCAACCTTGTTCAAAAGTGCAAAACATAAATTTGTTATAACTAATATTTGGTTAAATTGAGAGACACTTTAAAAAATTGTACTTCAGCCTAGATGTGGTGGCATATGCCTATAATCTCAAAATGCTTGGGAGGTGGAAGTTGGAGGATCCTGGTCTGAGGCCAGCTGGGCAAAGTGTGAGATCTTATCTGTAAAACAAACCAAAATGGACCATGGGTATGACTCACATGATAGAACACTTGCCTAAATAAGCCTGAGTTTCTAAATTCAATCCCCAGTGCTGGGGGGAAAAAAAAAAAGTATTGCCCACATTTGATTGCTTCAAAGCAAACCTGAATGATCTGAAATGAATGAGTCATAACATTTGCTGAATATCTAGGTATGAAGAGAAATTTAAATATTAATTATACTCATGCATCTTAAGGAACATGGATTTTTGAGCAATATAGAGTTACTGAAATAGGTACAAACCTGTGGAGGTATCTTTAAAAGAGAAGGTATCTTAAACACATTCATTTTTGTTAACTGTTTTTAATAGCTATCATGGTTTGCATCCCAAAAAGATAGTGATATTAAATAGTATCCAGTGCTCCCAAGAACAACAGGTCTGTGGCTGATATGTAATTTAACTGTTCTGAGAAAGAAAATAGGTTATTAAAACATAGAATACATAGAATATGGGGTTAGAGCTCAATGGTAGAGCATTTACCTAGCATATGTGATGGTGGGCTTTTATTCTCAGTACTAAATAATGACTTGAAAATAGTCCAGGAAGGGGCTGGGAAGGTGGCTCCGTGGTAGAGCACTTGCCTTGCATGCCAGAGGCCCTGGGTTCAATTCCTCAGCACCACATAAGCAAAAAGAAAAAAGCCGGAAGTGACTCTGTGGCTCAAGTGGTAGAGCGCTAACCTTGAGCTGAAGAGCTGAGGCCCAGAGTTCAGGCCCCACGACTGGACCCAAAAAAAAAAAAGAAAAGAAAAGAAAATAGTCCAGGAAGATTTGTCAGGGCAAGGAGATGAGAGTTGTGCCAAAAGTCATATGACTTGCAATGAGAACTGTTTATATTGCACACAATATTTGCTCTTTTTCTCCCTCCCAGATTTGGTATAAGGGGAAAGAAGGTACATCTTTCATCTTCTTATGCTCATAAAGCACATTCTATTGCCAAATCCCCTGGTTTGTGTGATATGGAAAGAGAAGAGGAAGACTGTATAATCTCAGAAGGAATCATCGAGGAATACCTAGCTTTTGACCACACAGATTCGTAAGTGTTGTTTTAAACTTTTTATTCTGCTCCTATTTTGTGTTTCTGTTTTTTCTTAAACTATGCTATAGCCCAATCTATGCCTGTTACTCATTTTCAATTAGCTAGTATATCCAGAGTTTCTGTCCTTGGTTACTCTTTCCTTTACACACAGCTTCCTGAAATATCAGAGATTTTTAAGTGACTTAATTTTTTTCCTCTATGTAATTTCATTTTACCTTTTTGCAAATTATCCCCAGTGGAAAATGAAACTCCAAGGGAGTTGAAGAGGTATAATAAACATTGCTTGTATAAATCCTATTTGAAAGGGGACTGTGTCTATAGTTTGTATAAAACCTCATGCTTGGCACAGACTTTACAATCAACAATGCTGGTTTATGTCTCTTTTGACTTTCCTTCTTTATAGGATAGGTGAAAATTTCAGTGTCTAAATGATTTGTCTGGAGTGGAGCTAAAATTAAAATCATCTACATCCAGTGCTGTCTTCCCTATTTCATGCTCTTTCTCTAACTCTGAAACTATTCCTTTTCAGCCTTCAAAAGTTCCAAAATAAGTAATCATGGCAGCATAATCTGAAAATGAGGATTTTTGTTATGTGATTAGGTCGTTAGTATGGTGTCACATGAGTCTGGCTTCTCCATGTCCTATTTCCCACTGCCATGTTCACATACTCACATGGTCTTAGAGCCAGCAAAACAAAGACAGATTTCTATATGTAGTTAACTAGTTACCAAAGAAACCTCATACATACCACCCTAGAGCCAACAAACATAGGCAGATTACTATATGTATCAGCACTGAGCTTACTCAATGTTACAGAAACCCAAGTATAGCTTCATATGATTTCTAGAGACTTCTCCCTTCCCTCTCACTTCTAGCCTGTATCAACTTATTTCTGTCTTCTTTTTCTCAAATGAAAGCAGAGTTTCTATGCATTTTTTTTTTTTTTTGCAGAAGGGAAGGGTGAGAAAGAGAATATAGCTAGACATCCATGGCTCATGCCTATAACATAGCTACTCAGGAGGCTAAGATCTGAGGATCTCAGCCTGGACAGGAGACTCCCTGAGACTCTTATCTCCAGTTAACCATGAAAAGCCAGAAGTGAAATGGCGGCTTCAAGTTGGAGAACTCCAGCCTTAGTGAAGTAGCTAAGAGACAGTGCTTAAGCCCAGAGTTCAAGCCCAGTACCAGCGTGCGCACGCACACGCGCGCACACACATACACACACAAAGTGGTGCAAGGATATAGTCTTCTCTGTTGTCTTCTTTAGTTCACAAGCAGCTTCATATATGGGCTGTGTATGCTGGGCAAAGAGCAGGGTTGGGATAAAGGGCACCAGCCACCTTCAGAAAAAAAAGTGGTGGACACTAAGTGAAGAATAATCATAAGTCTTTCCCCCTTGTTCTGTTCCAGGGAAGAGGAATTTCATGGAAACAAATCAGAAGCAGCTATAGACAAGCAGAAATTAGGGTACCCTCCCATTGCTCCATTTTACTGCATGAAAGAAGATGTTCTTGCTTATGTTTTTGACAATGTGTGGAGCAAGGTTATAGAATGTATGGAGCAATTGACACGTAGTCACTGGGAAGGATTTGCTTCTGGTAAGGATTTTTGTGGGCTGGGAAGTTGGCTCAGTGGTAGAGCGCTTGCCTTGCATGCCTGAGGCCCTGGGTTTGATTCCTCAGCACCACATAAGCAAAAAGAAAAAAGCCGGAAGTGGTGCTGTGGCTCAAGTGGTAGAGCGCTAGCCTTGAGCTGAAGAGCTGAGGGACAGCGCTCAGGCCCAGAGTTCAGGCCCCACAACCGGACCAAAAAAAAAAAAGGATTTTTGTAAAAGAAGAGTTATGATTTCCAAACCCAAATCAGTCTACTGGGTTACATGCTTTATTAGTCCAAAAACTGGGTATGAGGGGAAAAAAAAGTGCTTTTCCTTTTCTCACATAACACAGCTCCAACCAGATATGGAGGGGTTTCTCAACATATACACGCGTGCATGCGTGTGCATGCGAGCGCGCACACACACATATTCTCCAGCCAACTGAATGTTCCATGCTTTAATTCAGTTCTCCACAATGTCTACCTGGAGAAAGTATCAGGTCCCAACATTTAAGGGATCTGTCCCATAAGCCTGCCCCATTGCAAATGACATTCACAAGCCTCTGGCTATGACCTGTGCTTCTGGCTCACCAGCTATAAACTTGCTAAGACAGTTCACAGAACTCAGGGAAATACTTTAGGTTTACAGGATTATTACAAAGAATATTATAAAGCATATAGATGAGTAGCCAGATGAAGAGATGCACAGGGCAAAGTATAAAGAAGGGATGTTGAGCTCCCATACCCACATGGGACACATCACTTCAGGTACTTAACCATGTTCAGCAGTCTGGGAACTTTCATAGCCAGTCCTTCTGTTTTTTTTTTTTTTTTTTTAGTGACAGCTTCATTACTTAGGCTAATTGATTAAATAATTGTTTCTTGGTGGCCAACTTAGCCTTAAGCCCCTCTCCCTTACTTAGTGTTCAAGGGAGTGGGGGTGGGACTGTAAGTTCCAAACCTTATCACACAGTTGGGTTTCCCTGAGAGTTAAACCCCTACCCCCGTAATTCTGAAATTATTCAGGACTCCTCAACCTTCAGTCATCTTATTAGCATATGAAAAGATATTTAATATTTTGGACGTTACAAAGGTTTGCCAGAGACCAAATGATGACAGTTATATCACAAAGTGGGTCTGATTCATGTTTGTATTTCATACAGAAACTAATAGGCATTTAGTAAATATTTGAGAATGGGTACATTAATAACAAAGCTGTCTATGCTGATAGGCAGCATGTAATACTTTCTCCTTCGATATGATTTTAAAAAAAACCATTCAAGTGACATATACTTACCTCTTCAAACTGCTTTACTGAAGAGTAATTGATATATGCCCTGTCTATTTAAAGTGTACAATTTGATAAGTTCTATATCTATGCATGAAACCATCACCAGTCAATACAGTGAATATATCCATCACCTTCAAAAAGTTCATGCCCTTTCTGATCCCTTCTTTCTGCTTTAATCTGTCTCCCCATCCCAAAAGATCATATGCTTAGTGAAAAATGCCAGAGTACATGCCACTTGATTCCATTCACATAAATCTCATTTTCTCCTAGGTTTGGAGGTTAGTACCCTTAAACCATGGCTGGTTTATGAGGTTTTTCTCAGCTTGTAGGTAGCCATCTTTTCCCTGAGCAAGGGGCGGGGGGGGTGGGGGGGTCTTTTTTGTTCTTGGTGTCCTTACTCAGTATGATTTTGAGATTCATCCATTTCATTGCTAAGTACCATTTCATCATACCACAGTTTATTCATCTGTTGATGGACATTTGGGTTGCTTTGAACTCTAGGCTAGTCCATATAATGTTATGAACACTGGCAGATACTGGGAACACATGTTTCTTTTAGGTAAATTCCTAGCAGAAGATTGTCTGGGTAATGTGTTATAAAGTATTTATATTTTTTTATATTACTGAACAAATCATCAGAAACTTAATGGCTTTAAATAACAAACATTTATAATGTCACACAATTATGAGTGAGAAGTCCTGAAACAACTTAGTCACTTGGTAGGGTTTCACAGGACTGTGATGAAAGTATTGGCCCAGGGGTTCTTATGTGGAGGCTCAGCTGGGAAATGGTCAATGTCTCCTTTTGTGTGCTCTTAGGAGCATAAGGTTTCTTGTGGTTCTTGTGGCATTCCTAGCAGCTTCAGTCATGAAGCCAGCAAAGTCAGTGAATTGAAAATGAAATTAAGGGCTGGGAATGTGACTTAGTGGTAGAGTGCTTGCCTAGCATGCATGAAGCCCTGAGTTTGATTCCTCAGTACCACATAAACAGAAAAAGCTGAAAGTGGTGCTGTGGCTCAAGTGGTAAAGTGCTAGCCTTGAGCCAAAGAAGCCCAGGGACAGTGCCCAGGACTGGCCAAAAAAAAAAAGTAAGAAAGAACTTCATTTACACCAAGAAGAATAAGACTTAGGAATACATTTAAGGAAGCGCAAGAGTTGAACACTGAAAACTACAAAATACTATAGAAAGATATTAGAGAAGACCTAAAGAAATTTAAAGGCATGCTATATAAGACTTAAGATGGCATTACTTCACAAGTAGATCTGCAGGTTCAGTATAATATCTATCAAATTCCAATTTCCTGGAATGCATGGTAGTGTTTTCCTTTTAGACAAGTTCCTGGGTTCAATGTCCAATACCACAAAAAATGTGAAACAAAACTACTCAACTGTATTTTTTGCAGAAATGGGCAAAACTAATCCTGAAATTTACCTAAATACAAGAAACCTGAATACCCAAAACAGTAATAAAAAAATGACCAGAGGACTCATATACCCTGATGCAAAAACTTAACAAAGCTACAGTAATTAAAACATGGAACTAGTATGAAGACATATAGATTAATGGAATAAAATTCAAGTCTAAAAATCCACACATCTATAGCCAATTGATTTTCATCAAGGTGTCAAGATCATTCAATGGGTGACTAGTCTTTTCAACAGTAAATGGTGCTAGAACAAGAGTGCATACAAGAATGAAGCTGGACCTTGACCTCAAACCATATAAAAACATCAACTCAGATGTGGACTGCAGACCTAAATTTAAGAGCTCAAATTACAAAAAAAAAAAAAAAAAAAGAAATCTTAGAAGAAAACAGGAATGAATTTTCATAACGTTGGATATAACATCAAGAGAATGAGTAGCAAAAGAATAAAATAAGTTGAATTTCATCAAAATTTAAAACTTTGTACATTGTTGGATGCTATACTCAGGAGGCTGAGATCTGAGGATGGAGGTTTAAAGCCAGTTGGGGCAGGAAAGTCCATGAGACTCATATCCAGTTAGCCACCAAAAAGTCAAAAGTGAAGTTGTGGCCCAAGTGATAGAGAGATAGCCTTGAACACAAAAGCTCAGGGACAGCACCCAGGCCCTGAGTTCAAGCCCCAGGACTGGCACCCAAAAAACAAGATACCACTTCATGCTCACCAGGTTATATATATTTTTAATAAATTCTGTTTTTATTTACATTAATTATACAGGGCAGGAAAGGGATTCCATTTCCACATGTTTACAATGTAATCCAACTAATCTCACCCTCTCTATCACCTTCCCTCCCACCCCTTCTCAAAATAATCTCAACAGTTTCACTAATGATTCCGTTTTTGGTTGCCAGTCCTGGGATGCTGTTCTGAGCTTATTTTTTCTTTTTTTTTGGGGGGGGGGGGGTCCAGTCATGGCGCCTGAACTCTGGGCCTGGGCGCTGTCCCTCAGCTCTTCAGCTCAAGGCTAGCGCTCTACCACTTGAGCCACAGTGCCACTTCCGGCTTTTTTCTTTTTGCTTATGTGGTGCTGGGGAATCGAACCCAGGGCCTCAGGCATGCAAGGCAAGCACTCTACCACTGAGCCACCTTCCCAGTCCGAGCTTATTTTTTCTTGCCCAAGTCTAGTGCTCCACCACTTGAGCCACTTTTAACTCTACCAGTGTGCTCCAATTTGGCTTTCTGGTAGTTAACTGGAGATAGAGTCTCATGTCCTTTCCTTCCTGGGCTGGCTTTAAAACCATGATCCTCAGATGGATAGCTAGGATTACTGTTGTGAGCTACCAGCGCCCAGCTGGTTTTTTTATTTAAGGGGGAAATAGGTATTGGTGAGAACATACAGAAACTAAAGCCCTCAAACAGTAATGGTAGGAATGCAACCCCAATATAGTCATCATATAGTATGGCACCTCCTTAAAATGTTAAAGCTGGGCGCCTGTGGCTCACACCTATAATCCTAGCTACTCAGGAGGCTGAGATCTGAGGATTGCGGTTCAAAGCCAGCCTGGGCAGGAAATCCCATGAGACTCTCATCTCCAGTGAACCACCAGAAAACAAGTGCTCAAGTGGTAGAGCATTCGCCTTGAGCTGAAGAGCTCAGGGACAGTGCCCAGGCTCTGAGTTCAAGCCCCATGACCAACAGCAACAAAAAAGGTAACATAAAATTACCATATGACCCAGAAAGTCCACTCGTTAGGTATAGTACCAAGAGAATTGAAAACATGCATACAAAAACTATGCATAAATGTTCATAGCGTAGTTTTCATAATAGCCCCAGTGGAAACTCAAAATTCAGAATAGCCATGCATTATGGAATGAATAGTGTCCCTCTAAAATTCATATTTTGAAGCCCTAACCTTTACTGTGTCTTTATTTTGTGAAAGGGAATTTAGGGATTTCACCATGGTTGAGGGCCAAAGGGTGGGGCCTTAAATCCATAAGGCTGGTGTTCTTATCAATGGAGGAAGACACACCAGAGCTATCTCTTTCCACACATGCACAGAGAAGAGGTCATATGAGGACACAGCAAGAAGGTGGCCACCCACAGCCAGGAACAGAGGCCTTACCAGAGACCAGCCCTGATGGCATCTTGATCTTGGGCTCCAGAACTGTAAGAAAATAAATGTCTTTTGTGTAATCCACTCCATCTGGTATTTTGTTAAAACAAATCCCTAGACTAAAACACCAAGCAATGGAATATCAGCCAACCATAAAAAGGAATTAAGTATTGACAAAATGGATGAAACTTGAAAACATTATATAAAAGGAGCCAACACAAAAGGCCATATCTTATATGATTTCACTCAGATGAGCCAGAGTAGGAACCACAGAGGAAAACAGGTTAGTGGTTGTCAGGGGATAGAGGAAGAAGGGAATTAGGGGGTAGTTTCCTTTTGGAGTGATGGAAATTTTCTGAAATTAGTGGTGATGTTTACACTACATTGTTAATAAACTTTTTTAAAGGAAAAAAACCCCACTTAATTGTATGCTTTAAAATAGACAAAATGATAAATCTCACCTCATTAAAAAGAAAAAAAACATTCTGCATGAAGAATGTCTTAACACTCCTTATAAATGGATCTGCTGGTAATTGTTTCTTTTCTAGATGTTTTGTTTTTGCAATTTTGTTAATTCCATATCAACAGCTTATGTATGTCCTAGTACTTGTCTAGAAGTTGTCTAGTTTCACTTGCATTATTTCTACATTTTTAAATTTAAAGTATAATTTTATGTAATTTACATAGTTTAAGTGTCCAGTTTACATTTTCTATTTTTTCTCCCTCATTTCTTCTGATCTTTTTATTTGGGTTCTCTTATTTCTAGTAACCTTATGCTAGTTTTATCATGCAGTTATATTATGTGCTTGTTATTGTTTTGTGCTTAACTGTTTAACTCATATTTTCAAGTACTTTTTTTCTTTTTAAGACAGGGTCTCCCTGTATAGTTCAGGCTTTTCCTTGAACGTGCAGTCCTCCTGCTTCAGCTTCCCTAGTTGTTGGGATCATAAGGCAATACCACCCTGTCTGGTACTGTGTGTGTGTGTGTGTGAAGGCAATACCACCCTGTCTGGTGCTGTGTGTGTGTGTGTGTGTGAAGGCAATACCACCCTGTCTGGTGCTGTGTGTGTGTGTGTGTGTTTTAGTTTTTGGTGGTACTGGGTTTTGAACTTAGGGCCTTGCACTTGAGGGCCTTGCACTTGCTAGGCTGGCACTCTCCCACTTGAACCATGACCCATTTTGCTTTCATTATTTTTTAAATAAGGTATTTAAAAAAAAAGGCTAGCCTGGATCTTGATTCTCCCCCTTTTATACTTCCCATCTACCCGGAACAATAGGTACATGCCATTGGTTGGGATGGAGAGACGGAGGTCTCAACATTTTAAGTGTTGTATAACTGTGTGTGGCTTGTGGCCACCACATAGGACAGCACAGATGTTAAACATGTTGCTGTGAATCAGAAGATATTTAGGGATAACGGACTCTGTTCCTTTTTTCAGATGATGAGAGTAATGCTGCAGTTACGAGACCGGATTCAGAAAGTCCTCATGAGCTAAATGAACCACATCCTTTGGTGTTGCCTCGAGTGCCACAGTCTAAGATGTTGTCCGTCACCTCAAGCCCGGTAAGCCTCAGAGATGTCTCAGATGGCCTAGCACTGTTCGTACCAAAGGAACGAGAGTTTGCTCAGGTTATTTAACTGTTTTATTTATGACAGGACAGTTGAAGGTTTATTGCTGATCAGTTTCAGCTGAAAAAAAGGCAAATTCAGATTGATAAGCTTAAGACAGTTCTTTTGAAAAGGCATGTGTGTTTAAGTTGTGCAATCTAGAAATAACTGTGTGGTTAGTCTACAGACATCTTTATGAAGAAAAGAGGGACTCTTTCAGATTTTCTGTGGCCTTAACATTTTTATTTAAGTCTGTTGATTATTTAAATATTTAAATCTGTTAACCTTTTGGCTTTTGGATATTTAGTACATAGGTATAAAAGGAAAGCTAAAGGGAAGAGAAAAATCAAGTACGTTTCTAAATGAAGACTAATAAGCTGATGTATTCAGCTTCAATCACTGAAGATTTATGTGGTTGCAATTCCTACATGACAGTTTCCTAGCATTACTTAGGGTAAAAGATTAAAACAAAAAAGCCATGGTCATCAAACCTGAGTTTACTACCAGAATGAGTCATAAGTGCTGTTAGTATAGTGGCTAGGTATTATATAGCTGGATTTAGTCCAAAGGGGTGAATATTGTTCTAGATAATAGTTCATTTAGAAATAAAACCAGCAGACTCACAGCTAAACATATGGGAAAATAAGCCAGGTAGATGAATGTTTCTTTGTGACCTAGCACTTTAAACTAATCTGGTTATGGTTTAGGTGGCCTTAGTTTTGAACAGTTAACTAGATTGGAAAATACATTTGGTACAGAGAAGATGGCCAAAGGTCACTGAACTGACTAGAGAGAAAATACAAGCAGGGCTCTAAGCTAGCACTGCCAGTCCAAGTAACATTAAAACAGGAAAAATAAACTCTTGAAAATAGTCTTCAAAGCTGGGTGGTGGCTCACTCCTATAATCCTAACTACTCAGAAGGCTGAGATCTGAAGATTGTAGTTTGAAGCCAGCGTAGGCAAGAAAATCCATGAGAGCTGAGGGCTGGTGGCTCACACGTACAATCCTAGCTACTCAGTAGGCTGAGATCTGAGGATCGCAGTTCATAACCAGTCCAGGCAGGAAAGTCTGTGAGACTCTCATCTCCAATTAACACCAGAAAACCGGAAGTGGTGCTGTTGGCTCAAGTGGTAGAGGCCTAGCCTTGAGCTGAAGAGATCAGGAACAGTGCTCAGGCCCAGAGTTCAAGCTCCATAACTGACCCCAAAAAAATAAAATAAAATAATAATAAAAGGGCTGGGAAGGTGGCTCAGTGGTAAGAGCGCTTGCCTTGCATGCCTGAGGCCCTGGGTTTGATTCCTCAGCACCATATAAGCAAAAAGAAAAAAGCCGGAGGTGATGCTGTGGCTCAAGTGGTAGAGCGCTAGCCTTGAGCTGAAGAGCTAAGGGACAGCACCCAGGCCCAGAGTTCAGGCCCCACGACCGGACCCCCCCCCCAAAAAAAAAATAGTAATAATAAAAGGCTATGAGACTCTTATCTCCAATTAAGCACCAAAAAAACTGGATATAGAGCTGTGGCTCAATTGATAGACTGCTAGCCTTGAGCACCAAAGCTCAGGGACAGCTCCCAGGCCCTGAGTTCAGCCCCAGGACCAGCACCCAAAAATAAAAAATAATAGGTTATCAAGCAAGCAAGGTTATATGTACCAACAGTCCCAGCTATTCACGATCACTTGAGCCTATGAGTTTGAGACTAGCTTGGGAAATATAGCAAGCCTCCCCTACCAAACAAAGAAAAAAATACAAAACAAGAACTGGCAGTTCCAGCAGTAGTGAAAGAGAAGGGATAAATTTTTCTCAGAACTCAGGGTTATGTGATGGTAAGAGATCAAGAGTTTACCTGTATTCATATTATTTTTCCCTATTCCATTTGTAGAGTTTTCTATTTAGGTTTTCTCTTCTATTGTAAGTAACAGTAGTCCTTTTTCCCCTTTGAGAGTGTCTTTCATGTAGGTTGACTGAATCTGCTATCAGTTAGAAACAGAGAGGAAAGAAAAGGATCAGGCCTACAGTGAACCTTGGGTCCTCAGTAAGAGCTACTGGCCAACAGTTATAAAAGTAAAGGCATGGAGGAAGAATGTACAGATGACCTAATAGAAACATTAACTTTGGCCAAGTTAGAATCAACCTTTACCAACTAATAATGAGTAACATCTTCTTTTGGCATGTAGATGAATTTCTGTCAAGCAAGTGTTCATCAGTCAAATATGAATGGTCTCTTGGTTCATGGGATGCCTCTACAGCCAAGAAACCTCTCCCTAATGGACAAGCTCCTGTAAGAAGTATAAAATATAAGCAAACTCTAAAGCTTAAGTAGATCATTGAGAAATAAAGGGAAAACAAAATCTGTCAAACACTGTGCCTTTTTGAGTACCTCAGCAATCACAGAGAAACCTGGGGAGTAAAACATCCAAGGGGCATGGTCACCCACACACATACAGAGGGAGCTGGTAACTGGGAGAGAAGACATATACGTAAAATGAGACCTAACCATGACTGAGGGATAAATGAGTGCAAGCAGACTGAGTGCAGCTCCACAGGAAGAAGCATTTTTGTTGGATAAGGAGAAAAGAGCAACAGGCCATTCTAAGTGGGAATAATAGTGTAGGAAAACTTAGAAATAAGAAAATGAAAATCAGAAAGAGCTGACTATTTTTGCTATAATCGGACAGGAGGAGAAATACTAGACCTTTAATGCTTCTCATCAAAGATCATAGACAATCTGTGTGCACACACTGCATGCTGGTACTCAGGCTTAAACCCAGGGCCTCTACCTCACACTCGGCCTTTTCTGCTTATTGCTGCTGCTCTACCACTTGAGTTACTTCTGTTTTTTGTTGATTTCTTGGAGATGAGTCTTTTGAATTTGTCTGCCAGGGCTGGTTTCAAACCTCATTCCTCAGCCTCCTGCATAGGTACAGTGAGCCACTGATGCCCTGCTCTGGATGGTTTTGAATACAAGTTCTGTTGTTTTATCAGGTCTGGGGTTTGAAATCAGGGTCTTGTGCTTCTTAGTTAGAGAGGGGTCCCACCACTTGACCCATCATCCCTAAAGAAAGATTTGTTGTTGCTGTTTTCCTATTTGGCAATACTTGGGAGTGAACAACAACAACAAAAATCTCATGTGTAAATGCTTTACCCCACTGAGCTATAATCTAGTCCCTTGAATGCCATGGTTTTGTGAGAATCCATGCTGTTGCACATGCTGAGTTAGTATTCTACTCAGAAGGTATCACAGTTTCTCTACTCTCCTGTTAACACTTGGGGTTTTCCTAGGTTAGAACTATTATGTATAAAAGCACTACAAATATTCTTGGGTATGCTTTTTTGTGGACTTATTGTCACATGTCTCTTGGGTCAATACCTACACGTGAAAGGATATGTTTTCAATTCCATAAACTGTCATAAAATTTCTCAAAATATTCTACTTTATACTCTAATCAGCAATGTTAGTTCCCAAAAGGAAGGGGTCCATATAGGAGTTGGAACATGAATTGTAAAGGTCTGCACTCCTGTGCTAGCACAGGATAAGAAAGAAGTGAACTGGGGCTGAGGCATAGCTGAGTGGTACAACACACACCTGGCAGGTACAAGGTTTTGGCTCCCTCCCATCTACTACAAGACGTTTACAAGACTTTTTATGAGGTGTTTACTATTTTAGGAAATATTATGCAAGAAATGAAATGCTATAGAAAGGAATCAAAGCTCTGAGATTTCAAGTGGAAGGGATTTGTTTTGAGGGGGGAAAATAAGTTTCTTTTGCGCTGTTTGCCAGTAGTAGGTCTTGAATTCAAGGCCTTGTGCTCTCATTTGGCTTTTTTTTTCCCCACTCAAGGCTGGTACTCTATTACTTGAGCCACACCTCCACTTGAGGGGTCTTAAGTTTACAATGATGGGTTCATTTCAAGGGAAACATAGAAGAGATTAGATTTGCAGGTTGTTCTAAAAGCCATCTGGTTAGAGATGACTGAACCTAGAATTAGAACAAAACAGACCAACACAGAGCAGCTAAAGTCCAAACACTGTAGAATGCAGGAGAATGTGTTAGATACAAAAAAACAAACAAAAAAACCCATGCAAACCATCAAACAGAAATCTGGGTAAAGTGACTGGTTAGAAGCAGGAAGACCACGAAAGAGCTCTTGAAATTCTCAAGGGGTATTCTCCCCAAATTAAGAGGTATTTCATACTAGATGTCAATCAAGTGGCTTCAAAGGTCAAGAAGCTTGCTGAAAACCAAGTGGCAAAACTTGGCTGCTTTATTCTTCCAATTTCCCATTTCACTGCACAGATACTGTCTCCTAATAATCTTACAATAGCCAAACCTCCTCTTATCTGCTTTAAAAGCTTAATAACCACCAATCAAAAAAAAAAAAAAAAGCCCTAAGAAAAAACTCAAACCTGATTTAGAGTTTAAGTTACTAAAGTTTTTAGGCATGGTGTTTTATCAAATTACTTAGAGTTGTTTTTCTCAGTAGTTTATGCAAATAGGAATCTATTGTGGGCTTAATCCTTTGCCTATTCCTAGCCTTCTAAAGATGTGAACCCCCATACCCCACTCCTGTAGGTTCCAATTAGCTGAGCATTGTTTGTGTGTGTGCATGTGTGCATGCACACATGTGTTAATACCAGGCTAAGGTACCAAACTCAGGGACCTGAACTCTCACTAGACTTTCTCACTCATGTCTGGTGCTAGATGGGAGTCTCAAGGGCTTTTATATCTGGGATGGCTTCAAACCAAGCTCCTCTGATCTCAACCTCCAGTGTAGCTAGGATTATAGGTGTGAACCACTGGCTTTAGCCCAGCTGGAGCCACACTGGTGATTACAATACCTGCCTTTTAGTTCTTTCTAAAGTCATTCCCTTGGCTCAGAAATAATGCCTCCAATCTAGTAAGCAGGTACATGAAAAGTAGCAAACTTGTGGGAAGCACTGTGTGGTAGGTGTCTTCACTGATAGACAAGTGACTATACTGGCAGGTGAGTAATAGACTTGCTTTCTAAATCCCTGGTAATTATAACTGAAAGTATATTTTCCGCTTTTACTGACAGATTCTCACTAAGTATAGCACTCATCTATAATCCCAGAACTCAGGAAACTGAGACTGAAGGATTACAAATCTGAGGCCACTCTGGGCTACAAGCAACACCTAGCTTTAAAATCAAAACACATTCCCCTAGATACCCTTCCAGAAACTACCAGAAGTTACCAAAAGGTTTCTATTTTTGCTCCTGTCTTTCCTAAATACTTAGAATAAAGGCTTTTTACCCTGTGAATATTATTCCTACATAGTGACCTTTGTTTCATTGTGAGTTTCTGATTTGGCCACTAGTGATCTTGATGACAAGCTACTTATGAGGCCCGGGTCCAGTACCATCCTTTCAACTCGAAATTGGCCAAATCGAGCTTCGGACCTTAGTACATCATCTCTGTTATATACAGTGCAGTCCGCCAGGAGACGTAACCCCCCACCACGTACCCTTCACCCAATCAACACGAGCCATTCACGCACTGGAACACCAAGACCTGTGGAAGAAATCCTCAGAGGATCCCAAGTGTAGGTTTCAAAAGCAGAATTTTTGGAAACTGGTAAAACTGGGAATATTATATAATGAACATAAACATGACTTAAATATAAGACTTAAGCCTAGAAACTAATTCTTAGGATGGGTTGCCCATCTGTTTAAATCTAACAATAAAAATCTATCAAATAAGTTTAAATGCTAAATACTGGATCTGTTGATTTAGCTAAAGATTTCTATCTTTTTGTTGTTGTTTTTGGGTCCAGTCGTGGGGCCTGAACTCTGGGCCTGAGCGCTGTCCCTCAGCTCTTCAGCTCAAGGCTAGCGCTCTACCACCTGAGCCACAGCACCACTTTGGCTTTTTTTTTCTCTTTGCTTATGTGGTGCTGAGGAATCGAACTCAGGGCCTCATGCATGCAAGGCAAGCACTCTACCACTGAGCCACCTTCCCAGCCCCAAGATTTCTATCTTTGAAATTTAAAATCTTTTTATTTAATAATATGGCAGCATTTATGATTTCTAATCAGTCTGCTTCTGTTGTTACAACTTTCATTCTTTTCTAACTTGCCGTTTGCTGGTGGGATCCGCAGACCAGTGGCAGTCGACTCACTCTCCTCTCCCTCACCAATACCCTTGGGTCGAAATAACCTGCTACCACCTATTGGCACAGCTGAAGTGGACCATCTGCATACCATGGGGCCACCAAGGCAAATGGTATGTCTCCCTGATACTGCCTTTCTATATGCTTACTGTAACACCTCCTATCAGGAATTCTGCCCCATTTGCACTCTGGTCTTAATCAAAAGTACAAGGAGTTCTAATTGATGGACAACACATAGCACTCCAACCAGGGTTGATGTTGTACACTTGTAGGTCCCACTACAAATTTTAACTTTCTGTAACTTGTCTCTTGCAGAAGTCTCATGGCGATTCTAGTCGAGCTCGAAGTGCAGTGAATGAGCCCAAATACCAGCAGCCAAAGGAAAGGCTCCTGTTACCTGACTTCTTCTCCAGGCCCAACACAACTCAGTCATTTTTGGTAGTGACATAATTCCTATTTGTTCTTGATGGCTGGGGAAGGAGTATGGGGAAAGAACTCGTGTGGTAGGCTTAAGATTTTATCTAGTGGCTTAATTTACTCCAACAATAAAAGTTGAGGATAGAATAAATTTAAAAAATAGCATTCTGCGCATATTTAGTTGAAATTCTGGTTCCTTCCCCAAATTCTTCTCAGTGACATGCCTTATCTATAAACATTTTAAACAATTTCAATATTCTGAGCACAAGCAAAAATGCTAAACCCTAATGCTTATTAGGTGCCTGGTGGAATTACAACAAAAATGGGTCACACAGAGGACAGTGCATTCGTGAGCTTTTCCCACTATGTTTTAACAACCCACACTACCATCTATTTACAGTCTACTTTTAAAGCAGGTAAAATTAATCTTACTAAATTACTTTGAAGCATTTCATCAAAGTAGTAGAAAAAAACTTAATTGGGAGACTGGATGCCATGGGATAACCTTTCCCATTTGTAGGTCAGGAGTGCAAGCCCACCTCATCTGCTGAGATAAAAGAGCTTGGAAAGCCGGGTGCCAGTGGCTCACACCTGTAATCCTAGCTACTCTAGAGGCTGAGATCTGAGAATTGTGGTTCAAAGCCAGCCTGGGCAGGAAAGTCCATGAGACTCTTTTCTCCAATAAACCACTAGAAGCGGCACTGTGGCTCAAGTGGTAGAGCACTAGCCTTGAGCTGAAGAGCTAAGGGACAGCACCCAGGTCCAGAGTTCAAGCCCCATAACCGAAAAAAAAATTTTTTTTAAAATGTGCTACTGTTCTTTGGTGCTTTCATCTAAACTAGGGATAAGTAAACTACAATTCATGAGCTGTTTTCATAGAGTTTATTGGAATAGAACCACCAAGCTCAAGTGTCCTTGGCTGTTTTCACATAACAACTAGGCTGAGCTGTTGTAACAACTGCCATTGCCCACAAAGCCTAAGATAGAAACTACCAGGTCCTTTACAAAAAAAAAAAAAAAAATAGCTTGCTGAACTCCAATCTATACAATATGGGGAACTTCACTGGAAAAAATTCCTTATGTCTTCCTATTCTGTCCAGTGCTCTCAACAGGGAATCTTACTCAAGTAACCCCAGCAGGGTGATATATAATAGTCATTAGTCATAATTTTACATTGTACACTCGTTGGGATAGCTTTGAAAAGTTCTTTTTTGTTTTTTGTTGGTCATGGGGCTTGAACTCGGTCTGGGTGCTGTCCCTCAGCTCTTCAGCTCAAGGTGCACACTCTACCACTTGATGAGCCACAGCAGCACTTCTGGTTTTCTATTGGTTTATTGGAGATAAGAGTCTCACGGACTTTCCTGCCAGGGATGGCTTTGAACCTCGATTCTCAGATCTTAGCCTCCTGAGTAGCCATCAGGCCTGGCTTGAAATGTTTTTGAATTTCATAAGGCTAAAAAAGCAGATGTGAGGCTAAATTTCAATATGATAGTCATAGTTTGACTTTTACTGAAAGAATAGGTTTGGTTTCAAATAAGGAGAAAGCAGATAAGATTCTCTTGGCCCTGCATAGTAGCACATGCCTACAACCCCAGAACTCGGGAGGCCAAGGCAGGAGAAGCATGGGTTCTAGAGCAGGCTGGGCTACCAAGCAAGGCTAACAGAACAACTCTCCTGGAAGCTAACTGCAATGTTATACCATATGGATCATGAAATAATCATATATGCTAATATTTCTTAAAGTTATATTAATAAAACTGTAAAACAAATGAGTTGGTAGGTACCTGGCTTCAGATTTTCTACTCACAGTGCCTTTAGCCAACTTCAGGTTGGTGGATGCTTTTTGCATTTTTTTAATTTGAAGGGTTCCCTTATAAACCGGGCAAATTGTCTTTTGGGAGAAGTTAAATTTCAAAATATGTCTCATCTTTTTTTTAGCCAGATACACAGGATCGTCTTTGTACAGCTGAGTACTCTCATCACACCCGACCTGGCAGGAGATCTGCAGGTACAGATCTAGAGCCACAGCTCTGACCTTACTATGCTGTGACCCAATCCCTCCCTTATATTCCTTTGCTCTAGACTTTCTTCTGTTTATAGTTTCCTCCTATCTGTAAATCACCTCAACTTCATTCTGAAGGATAGTTATACTAGAGTTAAATTGCTAAAGCCAGAGTTCCACATTTCTGCTGGTTTTTTTTTTTTTCCTGCACCATGTAAATGAATCACTCCTCTGATAAACTTTGATTTTTTTAATTTAAAAATTTGAACCAAATAATCATCTTTATAGTATTTAGAATATCCCCCTCAAGAACACAAATGGGTTTTATGGTGTCAATGAAATTTATATTCCTATGGATTAAACTGCTTTGATCAGTTTAATACTAGAAGGAGAAAAGAATTCCCACTATCTTTTTTTTTTTTTGCTGATCCTGGGGCTTGAACTCAGGGCCTGGGCACTTCCCTGAGCCATTGTGCTCAAGGCTAGCAATCTATACCACTTCCAACTTTTTCTGAGTAGTTTATTGGAGATGAGTCTCATGGACTTTCCTACCCAGGTTGGCTTTGAACCATGATCCTCAGATCTCAGCCTCTTGAGTAGCTGGGATTATAGGTGTGAGCCACTGGTGCCCAGCTTCCTACTATCATTTTATGCTAATTAAAAAACTGTGTTGAGAGTTGGGGAGGTGGGGAGGGAAGGGATGGTAGGGGGAAAACAAATGAGGGGGTAACAATGCTCAATAGGAAATGTACTCATTATCTTACTCATGTAACCATAACTCCTCTGTACAGTATCTTTACAATAAAAAATAATGTATTTAAAAAAAAAAAAAAACTGGGCTGAGGGGCTGGGAATGTGGCCTAGTGCTAGGGTGCTTGCCTAGCATGCATGAAGCCCCAGGTTTGATTCCTCAGTACCACATACACAGAAAAAGCCAGAAGTATAAGGTTACAGGATGGCCAATTGTAACACGAGATGTGCAAGACACTATGTTGAAAATGAACTTTACAACTGTGGGGGTGGGGGGAGTTGGGGAGGAAAGGGATGGTAGGAAAAAAACAAAGGAGGGAGGGTAACAATGCTTGATAGGAAATGGATTCATTATCTTGCTCATGTAACTGTAACCCCTCTGTATAGTATCTTTACAATTAAAAAATACATAATAATAAAAAGCCAGAAGGGATGCTGTGGCTCAAGTGGTAGAGCTCTAGCCTTGAGCTGAAGAGCTCAGGGACAGCGCCCAGGCCCAGAGTTCAAGCCTTATGACAGACCAAAAAAAAAAAAAAGGGCTGACAGCATGGTCAAAGCCATAAAGCACCTGCCTAGCAAGCTGGAAGCCTTTGGTGTACATTCTAGTAGCCACCCCCAAAAAATTTTTAAACATCAGAATAGGGAAAGTCTTAAATGTTTTTCTTTTATTTTTAGTTTTTTAAGTTATATTCTGTAACTTAGTAAGTTTAGCACATTTGGTCAGGTCTAACTACTGGCACTTAGGTGGTGGGGCAGATACCTGAGTCCTTTTTATTTGTGGCCTCTTCTACAAACTAGGTTACTGCTTTCTTAAGACTATAGGAGCTTTTTTCTTCATTTTTATATGACAAAATGTGTAAATGTAGGCTTTACAGCCTTGGAAAAAATATGTTCTTTACTACTTAGTCCTGTTTCCAAATTTTGCTCCAAAAACTACAGCAAAACTACAGCCCTCAAATGGCTGGGAATGTTGGCTAAAGTCCTGGCATGGCTTCCTGGCAATCATGAGACCCCAAGTTCAAACCCCAGGATGGTAAAACAAAAAGCCAACAGCTCAAGATAGGAAATTTGATATTGCTAAGACTAGACTGTTAACTAATAGTACTCTATGATCTCATCTGTGTTTGACAGGTCCTCAGTTCCATGGGTCTACAAAATCCCAAAGCAGGGGTGGACCAATCTCTAGAACGAAGCAGGGACTATAGGTCAAATGAGAAGAACCCATTAGGTTGCAGCAAACACAAGAGAAGACTTCATGAATCAGTGTTCAATCATCACATGATACAGAGTTTGTACTAGATCAACACACACCCACCTTCCTGAAGAGTTATTCTGATACAACTGATGGGAAAAACACAAGAGTATCCACCAAAGACTGCATGGGTACTGTTTCTGCCTCCAGTTATGTCTTCTTTCAGCATAAGTCAACCTCTTCCAATGGACAGTGAAGATTGTACCCAAAGATGTAACAATGAATAATTATGCCCAAATCACTACTCATGTTGTCTGTTAACAATAATCAGTTCGATTATTATAGGATCCCGAAAGGATTTATACACAAAAAGCAACAAATAATTGTTTGATAATATCACTGGCTTAAGAATAGCTGCTTAATTTCTGGAAAATTATACTCAGGTTTAAGTCAATGTAAGAGACAGTATTATGAACAGTTTGAGCTACTTATTGAACAAATGTCATTCCTAGAGCTTTCTCTCTAGATGTTCAGTATCAGAATGAAATGGAAGGGCTGAGTAAAGACAGCACTGGAATAAAGTAACATAACAAATTCTTACTTTTTGTTCCCTCAGAAAAGACAGGTCAATTTTTTTTTTTTTTGGGGGGGGGTCTGGTCGTGGGGCCTGAACTCTGTCCCTCAGCTCTTCAGCTCAAGGCTAGCACTCTACCACTTGAGCCACAGTGCCACTTCTGGCTTTTTTCTTTTTGCTTATGTGGTGCTGAGGAATCGAACCCAGGGCCTCAGGCATGCAAGGCAAGTGCTCTACCACTGAGCCACCTTCCCAGCCCCGAAGACAGGTCAATTTTATATAATGCCTGCTTGAGATCAGATTATGCTGATTTTCTTGGTACTTTTCTTCTAAAGCTAAGAAAGTTATTATTAAAAAGTAATTTGCAAATGACCAATGCAAAAAAGGCTGGCAGAGTGACTAAAATTACAGCAGAGTGCCTGCCTAGCAAGTAAAAGGCCTTGAGTTCAAATCCCAGGACTACTAAAATGTAATAAATATGATACTTTGCACATCTTGCTTTTTGAAAACCAAGATAGCCTTAAATATAACTGTGGGAGTTAGTCAAGTATGAACTTGTCCTCAGTGCAACAGTAGAGAATTTTGGCATTCTGATCTTTATCACAGACATTTTCTCAAAGGCACTCATGAATATAGCAATGGTTTCACTATGCCTTAAATTCACTTTAATTTCATTGAATATTAAACAATTATCACTTCAATTTTAGACTTTACTGTTAATTTTCAGAGTGAATAAATTCAAATAATCATAAGTTGAGGTAACTATTACAAATGTGTTCTAATGTTATCATAGGAAGACAGATGGTTCAAACAATCTGCATTAGATTTCATTTTAATACAATTAAAGAGTATTTTCAATGTGTAATCACAAACTAAAAATGTGTCATGTGCTTACCTTATATAAATTATGATGTTCATTAGCAAAAGGTTTTTTTTTTTTTTTGGGTCAGGTAATGGGGCCTGAACTCTGGGCCTGGGCGCTGTCCCTCAGGTCTTCAGCTCAAGGCTAACGCTCTACCACTTGAGCCACAGTGCCACTTCTGGCTTTTTTTTTTTCCCTGCTTATGTGGCGCGGAGGAATCGAACCCAGGGCCTAATGCATACAAGGCAAGCGCTCTACCGCTGAGCCACCTTCCCAGCCCAGCAAAAGGTTTTTTATATATTAGTCTACAAATCAATTTAAAGTTGAAAAGTCCTTAAAAAATGCCCTATATAGGGCTGGGAAGATGACTTAGTGGTAGAATGCTTACCTAGCATGAGGCCTTGGGTTCAATTCCTTAGTAGCACATAAACAGAAAATGCTGGAAGTGGCACTGTGGCTCAAGTGGTAGAACACTAGCCTTGAGCACACAGAGTTCTTAAGCCCTGAGTTGAAGCCCCAGGACTGGTGCCCAAAAAACAAAACAAAAGCTAGTCTCTACTGTTCTAATGAGTCAGTACTATGACTGCACTGTAAGAAAAAGTTTGATATAGATAGATAGATGGATGGATGGATAGATAGATAGATAGATATATCAGATTATATCTCTTAAGAAGTCGTTTAGCCCAATTCCCTTACATGTATACTAATTTTACAGATGTAGAAAGCAGCTCAACCAGCTGAGTGATCTGCCTAAGGACACTTGAGACAGTGCTACATTTCTTTATGCCACTGAAACTGGACTGCTGTGGTGCTGACTAGTTAGTTTTGTCATCTATCAACTGAATCATTTAAAAAACCACCAGAACTCAATATTTTACTTGTTTATTAGTTATATATGTCTTACAAAAATGTTAAAGGCAATCTGAACACCTGTTTCCCCTGTAGTAAAAGGGTAGAGTAGAGCACCTGTTCTAATGGAAGTGCACATCACTGAAAGCAATACAGAGTTCCCTGGGCAGAAGGCCCAGGAAGCAAGTGCTGTGAGGAAGGATATTTCCTCCCATCTATCAATATACTCCTTCATGAGGACCTCATAGTGGGTCAAACTAATCCTAAGAAATACTAAAATCAGGTTCTGCTTGGTTTAGTTTTGAATCTTGGCAGGAAAGACAATTTCAAAGGTTTGCCTTTAAATCTTGACCGGACCTTGCCTATCATACCAATGAATACCTAAGGATCTTTAAAGAGAAAAAATTCCATTACTTCTTTTCTTTCTTGACAGTCGTTTTTTTCCTTCCTCCTTTGGAAGGTTTGCAGTATTTTGCTTCCATCTGAGCCAGAAAACTGTCCATTTCCTTTTGCCGATCCTTTTGTCTGCTCTGTTTGAGAAGTTAAAACACAGCTTTCAAAAGTTAATACTAGGCACCAACATGGAAAGTTCTTTATCGTTACCAGGGATGAGGGCATAGGAATAGTAGATGAGGAATGACTGCTAAGGTATTAGGTTTCTTTTGGAGTGGTGAAATGTTCTTGCATTAGAGTGGTAATGACTGTTCAATTTTGCAAATGCAATACAAGCCACTGAATTTTAACTCTCAAAAACCCCCAAATAGGTTTTAATAGGTTACTTAAAATAAAATACCACAAAGTAAATAAGCAACTGTAAAGAGAACATAAGAAAACTTAAAATTTTACCTGAATGAGTGCTTTCAAATTATCTACTCCTTCTTCAAGCCCCAATTCTCTTCTGCTCTTTTCTGCTTCTTTAGCCTCTTCTTCAGCCTGAGATAGAATTTCATGAGATTCTCCACAGCAACCAGGAAATACTTAAAATATTCCTCTCCCTCCATCAAATCTTTAAGACCCTTTCAATTTTAGGACTACGCAAATGTCATTCATTAGAAGACCGCAAACATTGCTAAGAGGAAGCAGTAGATTCTGATTCTAATCAACATATCATATAGGGTCTAACTTTTTTTTTTTGCCAGGCTGGCCTTAAACCATGATCTTCCTATCTGCTCCTCCCAAGTAGCTAAGCTGACAAGCATGAGCCATCAGAAATGTTTCTTTTTCATGATGGTATTTGGGCTTGAATGCAGTGCCTCTGAGTAAAACACTGCTCAGGGTAACACTGACCAAAAAGCATTATACTCAATTACAGAATTGTCACTTCTTTATATAATTACTTAATTCATAATAAATGAGAAAAAATTGGGGGCTAGAATGTAGCTCAGGAGCAAAGCACTTGCCTTGGAGGTGCAATGTCCTGGGTTCAATCCCCAGTACCAAAATAGAAAAGACAAAAAAAAAATTAATTGCTCAAGCTTTCTTGCCCACTTATGGCTAGTGTTCTACCACATAAGCCACACATCTTCAGTCCAGCATTTTGCTGGTTAATTGGAAATAGAGTGTCACACTGTGGGTTTGGCTTTGAACTGTAATCCCCCAGGTCTCAAACTCTTCAATACCTAGGATAACAGGCATGAGCCAATGGGGCTCAGCTTAACTTTCTCTACCTGTTTTTGAAGCTACAATTACCAAATTTTCCAAAATACTGTAAGAATACTTAAGGACAGCAACTATGGCATTAAGTGGTCCTAAGCCCTGATGAATTTTATAAAAAAAGAATGAACCAGGAGTTAGTGGCTCATGCTTATAATCCTACCTACTCAGGAGTCTTGAGTTCTGAGCACTGAGGTTCAAAGCCAGCTCAGGCAGTAAGTCTGTGAGACTCATCTCCAATGAACCACCAAAAGGCAGGAAGTGGAGTTGTGGCTCGTACCAGCTTTGATCAAAAAGCTCAAGGACAATGCCCAGGTCCAGGACTCAAGCCCTAGGACTGGTACAGACACTAGAACTGGTACAGACACACAAAAAAGAATGCTTTGTTTTTGTTTTTTTTGGGGGGAAATCAGTCATGGGACTTGAACTCTAGGCTTGAGCGCTGTCCCTCAGCTCTTCAGCTCAAGGCTATCACTCTATCACTTGAGCCACAGTACCACTTCTGGTTTTCTGGTGGTTAATTAGAAATAAGTGTCTCATGGACTTTCCTGCCTGGGCTGGCTTTAAACTGTGATTCTCAGATCTCAGCCTCCTGAGTAGCAAGATTACAGGCATGACCACTTGTCCCTGGCTAAGGATGCTATTGATACTGGATATTATAACAAATTATGATCATGTTATCCCAAAAGAGACTTTTAATATTCAAATCTACAAAACTTCAGAATCCCTCCTCCCAAGTTTGCTCAACAGGATCTTAAAAACTACCTTTTCACCAGGTGCTGGTGGTTCACACTTATAATGCTACTCAGAAGGCTGAGATCTGAAAATCACAGTTCAAAGCCAGCCTATGGAAGCAAAGTCCGTAAGATTCTTTGTTTTTTTTGTTTTTTTGTCGGTCATGGGGCCTGAACTCTGGGCCTGAGCACTGTCCCTCAGCTCTTCAGTTCAAGGCTAGCGCCCTACCACTTGAGCCAAAGCGCCACTTCCAGCTTTTTCTGCTTATGTGGTGCTGAGGAATCGAACCCAGGGCCTCATGCATGCAAGGCAAGCGCTCTACCACTGAGTCACCTTCCCAGCCCCAGTCCGTAAGATTCTTATCTCCAATTAACCACCAGAAAACCAGAAGTGGGGCTGTGGCTCAAAGTGGTTGAGTATTAGCCTTGAGCAAAGGAACTCGAGTTACAGTGCCCAGGCCCTTGACCTATCTTCACACCACAGGACGTTTCTGATGCTGTAAAGCCTTTACTGTATACAGCTGTGTTCAGTTTTCCCAGCGAAAACATGTGAGCCTGAACTTAAGCGGAAAAAGCCCATGAAACAAAATGATGATGTCAGTAAGACATTGCCTTATTGCCCTCACCAGATAACCTGACCCTCTAACACAGACCCTTTAGTTTTCACCCAGAACAAAAAAGTCAGCTATTCTCTGCATACCACCTTGTACCTAAAGCTGCAGATCTTTCCTGACCCAGTTGGGAATAACAAAGGGTAAGCACCTCTTCAAAACACAATCCTCCTCGGGTGCCGGCGGCTCATGCCTGTAATCCTAGCTACCCAGGAGGCTGAGATCTGAGGATTGTGGTTCAAAGCCAGCCTGGGCAGGAAAGTCCGTGAGACTCTGATCTCCAATAAACCACTAGAAAACTGGAAGTGGCGCTGTGGCTCAAGTGGTAGAGCGTTTGCCTTGAGCTGAAGAGCTGAGGGACAATGCCCAAGCCCAGAGTTCAAGCCCCATGACGGACCAAAAAAAAAAAAAATCACAATCCTCAAAACTATGTATGTATGTGTATATATATGTGGGTGTGAGTCCAACTCAAGAATCAAAGGCCCAAGAATCTGCACTGTTACTCATGACTATAATCCTAGCTACTTGAGAGGCTTGAGATTGAAAAGGTGTTTCAGGTCAGTCTAAGCATAAAAAGTCCACAAAGTCTCCATTTCATCAGAAGTTGAGCTTGTTGGTTCATGCCTGTCATCCTTGCTACAATAGTAAGACCATACAGCAGGCAGATTTTCACTACAAGCACACACCTGAATAGGAAATTAAAACCATATCTCATCTGCCAAACAAGGATAAGGCCCTGAGATCAAGGAAAATAAGTTTTTTTTTAAAACATAAATGTACACATTTATAGAGTAAGAGAAGGGAATATGGAGATTAAGTTCAGGGCCTAGCACAAGCTAAGCAAGCAATCCATTACTGAGCTACTCCTCCTACTCCCCAGATCTTAACTTTTTTTTTTTTTTTGAGATAAGAGTATACTATGTGGACCAGGCTGACCTCAAACTTGAAATCCTCCTGCTTTAATCTACCCAGTGCTTAAACTTTAAGTGTACATCACCTGTTAACAAGACACAATCTTTACCTGTCTGTCAGCTAAGTCAAGACCACTGTTTCTACTATATACCTGGACTCCATAATTCATCACTTAAGAAATGCTTCCACAGGGCTGGGAAGGTGGCTCAGTGGTAGAACGCTTGCCTTGCATGCATAAGGCCCTGGGTTCAATTCCTCAGCACCACATAAGCAGAAAAAGCCAGAAGTGGCACTGTGGCTCAGGTGGTAGAGTGCTAGCCTTGAGCTGAAGAGCTGAGGGACAGCGCCCAGGCCCAGAGTTCAGGCCCCACGAACAGAAAAAAAAAAAAAAAAAAGCTTCAACAAAGACACAAGAGCTTCAACAAAGATACAAGAACTAGCCAACATGACATTATTTCACTGCCTGGGCGCTGTCCCTCAGCTCTTCAGCTCAAGGCTAGCACTCTACCACTTAAGCCACAGCGCCACTTCCGGCTTTTTTCTTTTTGCTTATGTGGTGCTGAGGAATCGAACCCAGGGCCTATGCATGCAAGGCAAGCGCTCTACCACTGAGCCACCTTCCCAGCCCCCCCAGTTCATATTTCAATGGTCGTTTATTTCCACAATCCCAAATACCTTCAGAACTTTTGGAAACAGTGTGTAAATTATCTATAGTATTCAATTGCTTACCCTCCTCTTCCTGGCATTCATCTTTTGTTTTGATTCTTTGACAAAGGCTTTATAGGAGGGGACCTCTCTGGCATCGATAGCTTGTTGAATGATGTTTCTTATCCTGGATTCTTCTGTGTACTGCACGCAAAGCACAGACTCCATGATCTGGTCCATGTCACCCTTGAAGTCCAGATAGGCCTGTTTAATATCAGCCAGCTCTTCTTCGGAACCTTTGTAAGTCTTCTCGAACGCCTGAATGTCCTCTAGAGATATCTAATAAGGAAAATTACTATAACTTCAAGAAATATATTAGAAATAAAAGCTATATTTGCTGAGTAATACGAACAATCACAAGGAAGTCTCCAAAGTCCTCTACCTTTTTAAAGAGCAACCTCCAATACGCCTCCCAGTCGCGGTCCTGATTGAGCCCGGCAGAGTCCTCGTCCACTGCTCCCTGCTCATCGTACACGGCTCTCTGCTCCTTGTCGCTGAGAACGGCGTAGACTCTCCCCAAGATCTGCATGGAAAGAGCGTCGGAGAGTCACCCTCGTACATTCTCTCAAACGGCGCCCGGAGAGATTAATTGCTGGGAAACAGCTGCTCGAGGCCAACGAAGCTCCCCGGGCGCGGCGGCGAGCGTCTGGAAGACCGGAGGGCGCCCGGCGGCCGGCCGGGAGCCGGCCCTCGCACCTGGAAACGGCGGGTGGCGTCCTCCTTGCGGCTCTCTTCCACCCGGTCGGGATGCACCTGCAGGGAGACCTTGTGGTAGCCACGTCGGATCTCGCCGTCCGAAGCCTCACGCCGCACGCCCAGCACCCGGTAAAGGTCGGCGGTTCCGAACACTTGTTCGCACAGCTCTAGCAGCCCCATACTGGGGAGGGGCTGCGTCCGCAAAGCCCGCAAATTGCAGCTGCACTAACCCGTTCCACACCACTCCCGTTTTCCCGCTCAAAAAGCCTAAGGCGCCTGCGTCACAAGAGGCGCGGAAGGGGAGGAGCCACGCCCACATAGCAGTGCTTTGCGACTGCCGCAAAACTGGCGTGCCCTGGGCCCGCTGGGAAACCAGGCCTGGAGAATGCTAGCCTGGGACCGGATCTATAGGGCGAGAACGTTCTTCTGCTGGATTGCACATAGCTGATCCCGCGCGTTTTTAACTCAGTAGGTAAGTATGGCGTGCTCGGTCTTTCCCGCGAAATTCCAGCTCAAGCTTACTAGTGCTTTGATGCATGAATTATCCCCATATTATCCCCACATGATATAACCGCTTGTTTTTTTAGATTAGATCCTCAACACAGTACAAATGTAGACCCAAGTAATTTTGGAACCTACAAGTCAGGACTACTGAAGAAACATTTCCTAAACCCCTGCAGGGGCGGAGGGGGAAACATCAATCTTGGGGCCTGAACTCTGAGTACAGGACCTGTCCCTGAGGTTTTGTGCTTAAGGTTAAAGCTCTACCACTTAAACCACACCCCCACTTTCCACTTTTTGGTAATTGGAGATCAGTCTCACAAACTTGCCTGCCCAGACTAGCTTTAAACCGCAATCCTCAAATCTCAGCATCCTGAGTAGCTACGATTACACATAAGAGCTACCTTTTAGGGCTGGGAAGGAGTGCTTGCCTTGCATGCCTGAGGCCCTGGGTTCGATTTCTCAGCACTACATAAGCAAAAAGGGAAAAAAAAAAAAAAAAGCCAGAAGTGGCGCTGTGGCTCAAGTGGTAGAGCGCTAGCCTTGAGCTGAAGAGCTGAGGGACAGTGCCCAGGCCTAGAGTTCAGGCCCCACGACAGACCCCCCCAAAAAAAGAAAAGAGCTACCTTTTAGTGCTTGTGAAGTTCATAACTGGGTTTGAGTGTATTGGATTCTGAGATGATAGCAGGTGGGCTGCAGCAATTATCTAACACAAGAGAAGCTTGGGCCTGGAGATCGAAAGCCAAGACTTAAAGCTAGAGAATAATTTGTAAACCAAGATAAACCCATGAAATATGTGCATAAAGATATTATAAAAAGGATAAACCAGAAGACAAAGTAAACACCTATGTTGGCAGAAACTCAGGAGCTCAAAATAACCCAATCTCAGATCAGTTATATTCACTGCTCAGAACTTTCCAAAATCATTGTTATCTGCTAAAAAGTTTCTGCAATGCCTCAACCATGGCAGCATTTAGAATTGTAGATATTTCTCTTTCTGGGATGCCAGATAAAACTCAGCTAAAGTGAGCTCCTCTATATCAGTCCTGGTTGCAAAGGCTCCAAAGCAAGTGAATGAAAAACAACAGCCCTTTGAAGAGCCTCAATAACCTTAGACTTTGAGACGGATAGTAACTGCAAGCAGGACAGACTTGGAATACTGATAAGGCTTTAGAACTCCTTCTATAAGTTTTCTATAGCTTAGTTTTACACCAGAATTTGAACTTTCTAGTCTAGAGTATGCACAAAGCCATTTAATTCAAGCTTATGGGTGTAGAATACTAGTTTGGTGATACTTTGTTTTTGCACAACTAGTCATTTATAGAACCAAACTCATGATATCCAAACATAATTCTATCACTTATTTTCTAAGTGGACTTAAAAAGCCCATCTTTGTTCCTTTTTCCTACATATAGGCAACATGTATGTTGGAAAGGACTTTCCAGATAGGCAAACTGGAGTCTGAATCCTGTATTGCTGGGCAAGTTACCACGTGAGTTCCATCTCCCTCATCTGTAAATTAAAGATAATCCTTCCTCCTTTTATAATTCATAATCCTCATGAGTAATATTGCTTGTAGAGCCCAAGATTTATGTAGGAGCTTTAGCTTCACTCCACTTTATTTTTACTTCTTTATTAAATATATATTAATTGTACAAAGATAATTTGTTGTACTGTTTCCATACTTAAATCTTCATTCTTAAAAACTAGGCTATTAGAGCCCCCAAACCAATTTTCATTATCTTTGTAAAGGTATAATTATGTGCCAAGGAAACAATATAACCTCCCATTACAAAAAGAGGCAGGGTATCTGTGTTGGTTCTTGTGGGATGACCATGAGTGACTCAAGAAATATTTAAGGAGGCCAAGAACACTGGCTGGGAGCTTTGAAGTGAAAAAGACTTGGAAGGCAACAAATTGTAAGGTTACCTGTGGACCCAAAAGTCCACAAATACATTTTTTTCCAAGATAAAAGCAGAAAAACCTACTTAGTATCCACATAGAGCTCTTATGTCAAACAAGAACAAATCTCTGCCTAGCCCTTGTTCAAATTAGGCCAGAAAAGGATGAGTGGCTTTTATTGACCTCTAAACCTAATAAAACCAAGAGCTCTATACACAAGTACTTTAGAAGTCTTTGACCTTGTAATCACTATGTTCACTGAAGTCAGCTTATTTCTGTTTCTGGAGCCTCAGCTTCTGTTTTCTGAGAAGCTAAGAGGACTTCACCCGCTCGTTTCCTTCGCAGTCTCTCAGCATTTGTAATCATCATAGGATGCAGAGGGAAAAAACCAGAAAGACCTGGAAGCAACAGGATATTTATTTATTGTAATACAGTATATGTCAGTGTTTTCCTGGGCACTCTGCCTATCAGGTCTGACTCCTGACCCAGAGCATAGGTCTAAAACATGCCCTTCCTCCCCCATTTGCTACAAGAAGCCAGAAGAGGGCTACTTCCTAAAGCTGTTGTCTTCCTAAAGCTGTCCCTTGGGGGCGACATAGGCATCCAAGACACAACATTCTCATTTTTAGCATAAAATCCAGTCATCCAGTCCTATGAAGGAGTCCACAAAGGGATTCTCCAGATTGGTATGGTGGTAAGCTCCCACTCCAATCCTAGGCAGCCTAGAGGGAATGAGAATCATTGCACATGCTCATCGAGGAGCTGACTTCAGTATAAAAATCTCTCTCTTTTTTTTTTGGTCCAGTCGTGGGGCCTGAACTCTGGGCCTGGGTGCTGTCCCTCAGATCTTCAGCTCAAGGCTAGCGCTCTACCACTTGAGCCACAGCGCCACTTCCGGCTTTTTTCTTTTTGCTTATGTGGTGCTGAGGAATCGAACCCAGGGCTTCAGGCATGCAAGGCAAGCACTCTACCACTGAGCCACCTTCCCAGCCCTAAAAAAAATCTCTTAATGTAAAAACAGAGATGAGTTACCGAGAAGTTTCTCCATAGGTTTAGAGAGGTGAGCCCCACAGCCGATCCAATGCCGAATCCTGTCCAGATTGAGAGCAACGAGCTTTTCTCCATGGCTATTGGGCAGCGGGTCATAGGAGCCCAACTGCTCCACGAAACGCCCGTCCCGGGGACATTTGTTGTGAGCAGCAACAATGCGGTAAAAGGGCCGGTTGGTGCAGCCGCCGAGAGCAAGGCGGATGGTGAGGTGGCCCCCGCGGTAGTTCTTGCAGAGAAGAGTGGCTAGAGAGAAGTAATTCATGGGCACAGGAAAACGTAAGGCACAGAATGGGCAAAATAGGGTTCTTTCCTTCCCCCACCGAGCTGTCGTTCTGTGCAATCTATTCTAGTTCGCCCGGCCTGGGCGTCGCCTTGGCTGGGGAGTTCCCTTGGGCCCCGAGCCCGCCCGCTCAGGCCGGCCTTAAACCTGAGGAGAGGGCCGAAGCGAGGCCCTGCGACTGACCAAGTTCGGGGAGACCCTCTTAGTCCCCGGACGCCCTAACCCTTCTCCCACCCCGGGACTCACTGAGGCGGACCATGGTGTGGCGAGGGGGGGCGGCGGGCAGTCGACGTGCCCGGCGCCACACTGCTCCCCAAAATCTGCTCCACCACCTCGCAAGAACCCAGGTTCCGGCAGCGACGGCCTCCTTGCCCCGCCTCTTTCGCTCTTCGCTCCTGTATTTCCCACAATGCTACTCGATGCCGCGCACGTAAATTGCTGCGCAAGCGCAGTTTCCACTGGCGGCCAAGTGGGTGGGGCTTCCTGTGCGGTTTGGGTTGCCCGAGCCCGTAGTGCCCTGCGACCCCGCCGTCCTGCACGCATTCCAGGAGGGGGCGCTCCCGGGCACCACTCGCTTGGGACGCAGGCTCAGTGCTGGGTCTCCCGAAGCTCTGGTCGTGCGGACTCGAAGAGAAACCGAGGCCGTCACTGCCCCTTACAGGAGGGCTGGAAAGGCGAAGCTGGTTCTCGAGAAGCCGTTAATTCCCTTTTTAGTTTTGGCTGTGCTGGGATCCAAGAGCGCAGGATGGGACGCGATTTGTCACACTAGGACTCTAGAACACTGCTGCAGTAGCTCCGAGTTTTGCTTCTCTTGTAGGGTAATGGTGTCTTCGCAGAGCTCTTGTGGTCTAGATCCATGAAGACCCTTGTTGGTTAAGAGGAAGCACCACTAACCCTCAGCACTGACCTCTCTGTTCAGCATTTCTGTTCACCTCTGGTTCCAAAAGGCCTGGCCAGTCATCTAGGCCCACCTTTTAAGAATGCCTACTTTAGCCCGCGCCGGTGCGTCACTCATGTGATCCTAGCCACTCAGGAGGCTGACATCTGAGGATTGCAGAAAAGTCACCATGAGACTCTTCTCTCCAATAAACTACTCAAAAAAGTTGGAAATGGCGCTGTGGTTCAAGTGGTAGAACACTACCCTTGAGCACAAAGAGGCTGGGGCAGTGCCCAGGCCCTGAGTTCAAGCCCCAAGTCAGGCAAAAAAAAAAAAAAAAAGAATGCCTACTTAGTATACAGTACAGACGAATCTGGTAGGACTTAGCAGCTGACTTCATCTGGGAATCACCTAACATACATATTCACATCAGAAACTCAAATAGCAACACCATATATAGCTTTTTTGCATTTATATATTGTAGGGAACTCTGAAGTTGAGCTGTAAAACCTAGGAAAGGTTTGAGAGGTCAGAACACTGCCTCAACAGCACTCAGAACCCTGAGAGCTGGCCATGGAAGGGTTAAAACAGACAGCTCCAGAGAGGGTTAGAAAGTGGATTAAGCGGGGCTGGGAAGGTGGCTCCGTGGTAGAGCGCTTGCCTTGCACGCATGAGGCCCTGGGTTCGATTCCTCAGCACCACATAAGCAAAAAGAAAAAAGCCGGAAGTGGTGCTGTGGCTCAACTGGTAGAGTGCTAGCCTTGAGCTGAAGAGCTGAGGAACAGTGCCCAGGCCCAGAGTTCAGGCCCCACGACCGAACCCCCCCCAAGAAAAAACAACAAATTGGATTAAGCCCCCCCTCACCTCCCTCCCCATTCCTTGGGCTGGCAGCTGCCAGGGATCTTGACAACCTTGGGCTAAATATTTGGACACTGTGTCTGGACTTTCCCTAGGCTGCAATCTCTTGTCTCAGAAGTATAAGGGAATCAATGTCTCTCACAAACTGCTTTAGCTCTGATAGTAACATTAATATAAATGCTTTATGTTTTGCCTATGTCCATATGATTACCTTCCCTGTGTAAACTCAAATTAATATGATTGTTTGTGGGGACTCAGGGTACAAGTGCCAGAGAGCCTTGGGACCCCTAGACACCGCTGATGTTTATCTATTATCTCTGCCTTTTCTAATTTTCTTCAGCTCAGTACCCTGTAGTGACAATATAAATATCTATATAAATAATTGCATGTTAGTTGTTACATAAGTATAGAAGTATGTATAATGTATGTATGTAGTGTATACCTTAACTCCAGACCACACTGATGAATTCTGAATCTCCTGTTTACGTTTTATTGTAATCCAGTTTAGTGTTTAATAAAACCTCCAATAACAGCCACTGGAGATGAATATGGTTTGTTTGTTGTGAACGTTCTGTGCCTTCCAGCTTCAGGCTTTATATAGTGAAACTTTCTGGGAAGAAAAGGAGTTGAGTCCCAGACAAAAAGTCATCACTTGTAAGGACGTCAGAAAGATGGATTTCCAAAGCCAACCATTTCCTGTACAGTGTGGATTTCTGCAAGCAGAACCTCATCTTTCAGTTTCAGCTAAATCAACAAAGGAGGAAAGAACAAGTCAATGCCATTTTTGATACACATATATAGGTTTGTGGAGGGGGGGTAGTATGTGCGTGGGTGTGTACATGTGCATGCTAGTCCTGGGGTTTGAGCTTTAGGCTTGAGTGCTGTCCCTGACCCCATCCTCCACCCCTCTAAAAAAAGGGGGGAGGGGGGAGTCAAGGAGCTTGATCTAAGGGCCTAGGTACTGTCCTCCTGAGCTTTTTTGTTCAAGACTACCATACTACCACTTTGAACCACAGCGCCACCTCTGGTTTTCTGGTGGTTAATTGGAGAGAAGAGTCTCAGACTTTCCTGCCCCGGCTGGCTTTGAACCTCAATTCTCAGATCTCAGCCTCCTGAGAAGCTAGGATTACAGGTGTGAGCCACCAGCACCGATTGCTCAAGGCTGCTGGGCTACTACTTGAGCTACAGCTCCATTTCTTTCTTTTTTTTCTTTTTTTGCTGGTTAATTGAAGATACGAGTCTCATGGACTCTCCTGCCTTGTCTGGCTTCAAACTGTGATCCTCAGCTCTCAGCATCCTGAGTCATTAGGATTACAGGTGTGAGCTACCTTCACCAATGTTGAAGACCCCTCATTTATGGGCCACAGCTCAAGAACAAATTTGGGGTAGGATGGGCTTTTCTTGTATTTTCTATTAGAACATTGTGATGGCTATGTGCATATTTTTACTTTGAAAATGTATCTAGTACTATGAACTTGCATTATTTTGGCATGTTTATTTGAAGTTTATTTTACAAGTGTTCACACTATCACTTCTAAATAAATTTTAAAAATTGAGCAGCATCTCTCTGCGAATGAGTACATCCATTTGGTGATTAAAAGAAAGAACTCAGATATGAGAGCCTGTGGCTCAACCTATAATCCTAACTACTCAGGAGGCTGAGATATGAGGATCATGGTTCAATGTCAGTCCTGGCAGGAAAGTTTGTGAGGCTCTTATCTCCAATTAACCACCAGAAAACTGGAGGTGGAGCTGTGGCTCAAAGTGGTAGAGTTGTAGCCTTGAGCATTAAAAAACTCAGGGGCAATACCCAGACCTTGAGTTCAAGCCCCATGGAAAAAAGGAAAGAAAGAAAAAGAAGGAAGGAAAGAAAGACAAAGGAATGAAAGAAAAGAGAAAAAAGAAGGAAGGAGAGAAAGAAAAGAGGAAGGAAGGAAGGAAGAAAAAGAGAGAGAGAGAGAAAGAAGGGGGAGGAATGGATGGATCAGACACAAGAATCATGGGGGACTAATCCTAGCTATTCAGGAGGCTGAGATCTGAGGATCAAGGTTTAAAACCAGCCTGGGCAGGAAAGTCCAGGAGACTCTTATCTCCAATAAACTACTCAAAAAAAAAAAAAAAAAAAGCCGGAAGTGGCTTTGTGGCTCAAGTGGTAGAGCCCTAGCCTTAAGCAAAAAGAAACTCAGGGACAGTGCCCAAGCCCAGAGTTCAGAACCCAGATGAGGGATAAAAATGCTTGATACAGGGGGGCGGGGCGGGGCGGGGGGCGAGCGCAGAGGGACAAAAATCATGCGGACTCAACCGACATCAACGACTACTCAACGGCGGCGGCGGCGGGGAGGCCGGCCGCTGGCTGGGAGAGAGTGGGGCCGGCGGAGCCGGATTACCCTTGATGGCCCTGTGGACAATGGATCACTACCAAGTGTGCTTTCTAGGCTGTGAGAAGTGGGGAAAAAGGGTGAAAATGACCAGCTTCCAAGCTGATCCATCAGGAGAGGACAGAACCGCAGGAGCGCAGCCTTTCATTGTGTTCCAGGCCTCCAGTGCTCGCTAAGTACAAACACCCACATCTCTCCACATATGTTACAGTCCCAGAAAATGATGACAAGGACTGTGAATCACGGCAAAAACAGGGGGTGAGGAGAGGAGTAAGTGGCTAAATGAATGTAGTCTGGAGATGGGTCTGATATTTCGGAATTAAATCGTGAAAGGGGTCCAAAAAAAAAAAAAATGCTTGATACAATTGATAGAGAAAAAGTGGTTGGGTCTCTGATGCTAGCACTAGCTAGAGTACCAACCTTCAACTTTTCATTAGATTAGGGGGGAAAAGGCAATTTTATTAAACTTCTGTGTTTCAAGTCAAATTACTTGCAATTCATAACTGACTAGATCAGGAGTAATTCATGAGTCAAATCTAACCCACTACCTATTTGTTGTAAATAAAATTTTAATGGAACATGTCCATTCATTTAATATCATCTATGTCTGAAGCTACTTTTACACTTATAAGATTAGTAGTTGCAACAGAGACTGTTTGGCCCAGGAACTCTAAAATATTTCCTATTTTGTCCTTTATACAAAAAGTCTGTTGAGGGCTGGGAAGGTGGCTCAGTGGTAGAGCGCTTGCCTTGCATGCCTGAGGCCCTGGGTTCAATTCCTCAGCACCACATAAGCAGAAAAAAAAAGCCAGAAGTGGCACTGTGGCTCAAGTGGTAGAGTGCTAGCCTTGAGCTGAAGAGCTGAGGGACAGCACCCAGGCCCAGAGTTCAGGCCTTATGACCGGACCCAAAAAAAAAAAGTCTGTTGACTCCCTGGACTAGAACAACTCCATTTTGCACGTGGGATATGAAGCCCAGCATTAATACAATAAGTGAATGGCAATTCCAGAACCACTGTTCATTCAGGTCAATTTACTACCTGGTTGGCTGTGTTCTCTCTAAGGATAAAGAAAGGTCACTCATGGCAATATCAATGTTATTACACACTCAGTAGCCATGTGAAATTCTCAAAAGCTCCAAATTAAGCCAACACTTTTCCCAGTATGGTGCAGGCATGTGACAAAAGCATCTGTCTCATACCTTTAACGTGTACTTGTAGGCCTGCTCAGCTTCCAGTTGCCGTCCATTCTGAAAAAGAAGTACAACAGCTGGTGGTGATGACACATAAACATTACAACACCACTGGAAGTACATAGCCTCAAGTGTTTTTACCTAGTACAGCGGGTAATGCTTTCGTAGTTAAGATCCTCTGAATTCAAAGTAGAAGCAGGAAAATAAAAGAGGAAAAACCCAGGCCTGGGAATGTGGCTTAATGGTAGAGTGCTTGCCTAGCATGCATGAAGCCCTGGCTTCCATTACTCAGTACCACAGAACCAGAAAAATCCGCAAGTGGTGCAGTGGCTCAAGTGGTAAGAGTGCTAGCCTTGAGCAAAAAAAGAGCTCAGAGACAGTGCCCAGGCCCTGAGTTCAAGCTCCAGGACTGGCAAAAAAAAAAGGAAAAGACAATGTGTATGTGTATATGTGTGTGTGTGTGTGTGTGTGTGTGTGTGTGTATGTGTGTGTTTATTTATTTATATTTATATTTTAATCCCTCCTTCACAGGGCACCAGTGGCTCATATCTATAATCCTAGCTATTCAGGAGGCTAAGATCTGAGAAATCAAGGTTCAAAGCCAGCCCAGGCATCCAAATCTGGGACACCTAGAATTATCTAGAGGAAAAAAGCCAAAAGTGGTGGCATGGCTTAAGTGGTAGGGAACCAGCTATGAGCAAAGGCCTAGAGTTCAAGCCCCCAATATTCATTCACTGTCTGTCTGTCTGTCTGTCTCTCATACACACACACACACACACACACACACACACACACACACACACACACACACAAATAATCCATTTTAGAAAACTTCAGAACAATTTGGCCTCTCTTTTAAAAATAAAAAAGGAAAAAAATAAATAAAAGCACAATGAATCATTTCTTCCTCTTGGACTGAAGCAATTTCATCAATAATAGTAAATATGGTACTTAATTGATTCATATTGTTTTCATGATGATGCCTTAAGTGTGTTATATCGCTCACTTTTAATCCTTAAGACATAGGAAATAATTATTTTATATCATTCCAGGATAAAAGAGAAACCTAAACACAGGATAAATGGCTTGCTAGGGTTATTAAAGTACAAAGAGGAAGATCCAGTTTCAAAACAATGAAGTCTGGCTCCAGAGTCCAAGTTTTTACCTAGCACATTTTATCCTACCTATATGTGTTGGAAAGAGAAAATAACAGGATGCTTCCACCATGAAGATCTGGATATAAGATGAGGCCACTAAGTACTTTTGCTGATATTATTCCTCACATGAAACACTCCTCCACGCCAGACACTTGTGGCTCACTCCTGTAATCTTACCTATTCAGGAGGCTGAGATCTGAGGATCAAGGTTCAAAGCCAGCCTGGGCAAGAAAGTCGGTAAGACTCTTATCTCCAATTAATCACCAGAAAAATCCCAAAAGTGGTGCTATGGCTCAAAATGGTAGAGCACTATTCTTAAGCAAAAGAGCTCAGGGACAATGGTCAGGCCCCAAATTCAAGCCCCATGACCAACAAAAATAAATAATAAATACGCAAGGAGCTAAAGGAGATGGCATAAATTCACTATTATACTCCATAGTTTATACATTAGCATATACACAGCTAATTGGGAAAGCTTAAAGTATGTAAATATAAAAATACAGAATACCTGTACTGTAAGAATGAGTATCTAGTCCAATTTCCTGATCAGTTCTAGTCCATATGAAATTTGCTATATCATAAAACTTTCATACTCCAAACTTTTACTTCCGACAATATTTACATTTAGAAATATCCCTCCCTGGAGATCACTGAATTGCTAGGGATATTTTCCGTCATACCTTCTCTTCCAGCTTTATTGCCTTTGTTTCCTTTCTGCCATACAGGTAGAGGCACAAATAATGTGAGCATCCAGAATAGGTAAATTAATATTGAAAAATAGGAGATGGTTGTTTTTTGTTTTGTTGCATTTTGGTTTTTTGCTTTCGTGAATATTCTTGCAGTGAACATTCTTGGACATAAGTTCATGTTTTCACCCTTAGGAACATATCTAGACTGGCATTTTGCTGAATGGTACACTGCTCTTGACTACCAACAGGAATTCCTCACCAATATTAGTAAATCATACTTAAACTTTTTATTTAAAACATTAACTTAATGTGTATTTTAAGGGGTTTCATTGTGATATTTTCGTTCTAGATGAAGGAGTTCAATAAGAATAAATGGTTCAGAGACTCACAGAGCATTCTTTTTGCTAATTCTTCACTGGGTTTTCATTCTGACACAATATTACTCCCATTTTTAGAGCATCATTTCTAGCAAAAACACATCTGAATATATGGCTTCTCAGCATATTCCAAGTGAGAATACCCAGGATTAAGTCTTTCTTTTGGTTTCAAATGGCCAGATCTAGAGCTCATAAAGTTTCATTTATACTGTGTATGTTATTATGCATTATTGATATGCATTACTAGATGTCTCACTTAGTTGGTCTTTCATCTGTGTCCCCTAAAAAGATTATGTAAGGGTGATAAGTGGATGCTAAATCCAAAATGTTAGGTGATACGACAAAACTAACAGGACTTAAGAAACAAAGAACTCCCACTCATCTGGTCGAACCACTACTAAATATCCCCATGCTGCTGATCACATGTATGGTGTATATGTGTACACCGTTATATGTTATAGACTGTGAGAGACAATTTGCTCCAGGAATGTTAGATTGAACTTGTGACTTTAAATGAGCATCATTATTCCACAATACTGGGAAATTATGTAATCACTTAATCACAATTAAAAAAAAAAAAAAACAAAAAAAAAGAACCTCGGGGAAGGTAGGGAGGGAAGTGATGGTAGGGGGAAAACAATGGAGGGGGTAACAATGCTCAATAGGAAGTGTACTCATTACCTTGCTCATGTAACTGTAACCCTCTGTATAGTATCTTTACAATAAAAAATTTAAAAAAAAAGAGAGTTCTCACAGCTGGACCTGGTGGTTCATGCTTGTAATCCTAGCTCCTCAGGAGGCTAAGATCTGAATGAGGATCACAGTTCAAAGTCATGCCAGGCAAGAAAGTCCATCAGACTCTTATCTCCAATAAACTACTCAGAAAAAAACTGGAAGTGGCACTGTGGCTCAAGTAGTAAAGCACCAGCTTGGAGCCCAAAGAGGCTCAGGGACAGCATTCAGACCCTGAGTTCAAGCCCCAGGACCAGCAAAAAAAAAAAAAAGAGTACTCACTTTTAGGCAGACCAGAGCCAGATATGCCCATACTTCAGCATTGTAGTTGTTTAATGCATTGGCTTCAGAAAGAGCATCCTCAGCCTCTGTGAGCTCCTCCAGCTTGAAAGAAAAAGGAGACATGAATTGTAATGCACAGTGGTTTTCACTTAAGCCAGCTAGCTGAATCCACTATATCCAAGTAGCAGATGTTTATGGCCTATGCCAATAATCTTCAACTTTTTCTATTTCTAGCATCAGAACTTTGTTTAAACAAAATCTTCTATGGTGGTACATTAAAAGCAGAACCACTCTGCTTAAAAAGCCAGGGAGGAGAATCTGGAACCCTGTTTCTTAGACCCTCCATCTATGAATCTCTCTTCTTCCTTCACAGTGGCCCCATGAGGAAATTTGTAGGTGTCAGAGTTGGAAATCTACGTCAGATGTGCTGCCGCATTTGGTGGTTTGTCCAGATACAGTGGGCTGCCAGATATGTTTTTAAGGATTTTTTTATGTCTATCAAAATACTGTTCTCTAGGAAAACTTTCTTTCCCCTACCATCAATTATTAATAGCCAAATCCTGAGCTGTCAATGACATACTCATGGTCTCCAGGGTGCTCCCCTAACTCTGGGAACTTGGAGATCGTCACTGTTCTCCTTTCTAAAAGGCCATCTAAGGAAAGACTAAGGTTCTCTCCTTCCCCAATAAAGTGACTTCTTTGTTTTGTTTCAAAAGGGGAAAATGATGAGTTTCTAAGCTTAAAATAAGACACAAACTAGCCTTTTGGTCGGGCATATACTCTGTGTCACACTTTAAATTTCTCTAAGACACTGATTCTTTATTCAGTCTGCCTACATGTGCTAAGATTTATGCCTTGCTATGGCTGGGCACCAGTGGCTCACACCCATAATTCTAGAGGATGAGATCTGAGGATTGAGGTTCTAAGCCAGACCTGGCAGGAATGTCCATGAGACCCTTAGCTCCAATTAACTACAAAAAGCCAAAAGTGGAGCTGTGGCTTGAGTACAAAATCTCAGAGCAACAAGGTCCAGAGTTCAAAGTCCATGACCAGCACGCATGTGCATACACATACAAACACACACACAGAAATTTATGCATTGCTAGTGTGTTAAGGTGCTAAAAATAAAAAGATAAATATAGCCAGGTGCTAGTGGTTTATACCTGTAATCCTAGCTACTCAGGAGGCTCAGATCTGAGGATCATGATTCAAAGCCAGCCTGCGTGGGAAAATCCCCATAGGATTCCTATCTCCAACTAACCACTCAAAAGGGAAGTGGCGCTGTGGCTGAAGTGGTAGAGCACTAACCTTGAGCACAAAGAGGCTCTGGGACAGCACCCAGGACCTGAAGAATAGGGAAAGATTACTAGGACATAAGAGGAGCAGCTCTGTTTTTTTTTTCTATCTCTGTTAAAACTACCATTTATCAAATTCAAATATTATCAACAATGAAAATGTATTATTACCTTTATGGTTTTAAAAAAGCCAGCAATGAGGAAGAGGAGATATCATCTTTTTCTTATAGAAAAGATCATAAAAGAGTTGATATAAAAAAAATGGGGAGCTGGGAATGTGGCTTAGTGGTAGAGTGCTTCTTAGCATGCATGAAGCCCTGGGTTCACTTACTCAGTACCACATGAACAGAAAAAGCCAGAAATAGTGCTGTGGCTCAAGTGGGGAGAGTGCTAGCCTTGAACAAGGAAAGCTTGTTGCCAGTGCCCAGACCCTGAGTTCAAGCCCCAGGACTGGCAAAAACAAAGTGTGTGTATATATGCCAGTCCTGGGAATTGAACTCAGGGCCGGAGCATTATCCCTGAGCTTTTATGCTAAAAGCTAGCATTATACCACTTCCAGGTTTGGGTGGTTAATTGGAGATAAAGAGTTTCATGGACTTTCCTGCCCAGGCTTGCTTTGAACCACAATCCTCAGATCTCAGCTTCCTGAGTAGAAGGATTATGGGTATGAACTACCAGAACCCAGCTACATGAAATATTTTTGATATTAGCTTCCTGGTTCAATTTTTGGTATAATGTGTTAAGAATATTTTATTTTTCTAGTTCAGATTGCTCTTCAGTTCATGAAGGATAAAAAGTAACTTTTCATCCATTAGAGCAGACTGATCTTTCACCTGCATCACAAACTCTGCATGTGCCTGGAAGATGAAGAGACCGAGGTCTTTGGTGTGCATAGACCCAGTATCAAGGCCTCATTATCTTACCCGGTAACAGGCAATTCCCACTCCTAGCCAGGTAAGGCATGAAGGTGATCTCTTACAGGCTTGCATGTAGGTTTTCTTGGCTTTTTCATACTGTCAAAAGAAAGTACTGTAAGAGGCAACTTAAAAGATGCTTTTGCAGAGCATGTGAATGAACTGAAAGCTAGATACTTGACCCTTTCTCCAACCGGCATCTCTGCTCTTGGATCTGAGATATTCCCTGCTACAGGCACTTTATAACTACCTAGGGCCCAGGAAGAACAGTATTCACCAATAACCATCTTGCAATGAAAGACATAAGCTGCTCCCCAAACAGGCAAGTATATCTCATCATCTTGAAGAAAATAACCAAAAACTACACACTACACAGGACCAAAGACTAAGCTAATGGTCCACCAGGACATACCAGTGATTTGGAACTATTTGAACAATATGTACCTTTTTCACGCTTGACCTCATCTTAATTTAACCAATGTCTGTACCCATGAAGATGGCCCAAAGATGTACTCAGTGCTGTCTTCCCGCAGCTGCTATGGAATCATTCTTCTTCTTCTTCTTTTTGGTTGTTGGTCATAGGGCTTGAACTCTGGGCCTGGGTGCTGTCCCTAAGCTCTTCAGCTCAGGGCGAGCACTTTACCACTTGAACCACAGCACCACTTCCAGTTTTCTGGTAGTTAATTGGAGATAAGAATCTCATGGAGTTTCCTGCCCCAGCTGGCTTTGAACCATGATCCTCAGATCTCAGCCTCTTGAGCAGCTAGGATTACAAGCATAAGTCACCAGCACCTGGCTTCATTCTTCTTTCTTTGTCCTCCACGTCTCTTTACATTTGGTATTTGAAGGCAAATACCAAATACCAAAAGTTCCACCTAATATGGAACTTTTAGACTTTGGGTCTGGGGTCTAAAACCCATTACCATTAAGAAACTGTTCTAGAAACTTCAAGCACTGTATTAGAAGGATAATCATGAGGCTTCTGGATAGTTTTTGTACCAGGGCAATTTAAGTTGAGTAACTCTTGCACTGATTTTCATGTCTACTTTAAGGGAGGTATTAAAAGACTAGCGAGAGGAGATAAACTGGTCAAATAAAAGGTCAGACTTTTACCTGGAAGCAGTTCCTAAAGATTTATGGTCTGGCCGGGCGCTGGTGGCTCACGCCTGTAATCCTAGCTACTCAGGAGGCTGAGATCTGAGGATCGCGGTTCAAAGCCAGCCTGGGCAAGAGAGACAGTGAGACTCCTATCTCCAATAAACCACCAGAAAACCGGAAGTGGCGCTGTAGCTCAAGTGATAGAGCGCTCGCCTTGAGCTGAAGAGCTGAGGGACAGCGCCCAGGCCCAGAGTTCAAGCCCCATGACTGACAAAAAAAAAAAAAAAAGATTTATGGTCTGGAGAGTTGAGGTAAGGAGTTACATAGAAAGGCTTCAGCAACCACAGTTGCTGAACCACAGAGTTCAAGCCCTATGACCAACAACAGAAAAAGAAGAAGAGGAGGAGGAGGAAGAGAAGGAGAAGGCGGAGGAGGAGAGAAAGAAGAAAGAAGAAAGATTCCATAGCAGCTGTGGGAAGACAGCACTGAGTACATCTTTGGCCATCTTCAGGGGTACAGACATTGGTTAAGTTAAGATGGGGTCCAGCATGAAAAGTGTACACATTGTTAAAATAGTTCCAAATCGCTGGCATGACCTGGTGGACCATTAGCTTAGTCGTTGGCCCTGGAAGCTTAGCAGGTAGTGTGTAGCATTTGGGTTTTTTCTTCAAGATAAGATAGATATTACCATTTTTCATTGAAAAGTGACACCATGTAGTGACACACTGAATCCTGGACTAGGGGAGGACTTGACATAGCCTCATCATTCTATGAGGCTATTCCTTTATTATTAAAAGAAAATCTTAGGGCTGGGAAGTTGGCTCAGTGGTAGAGAGCTTGCCTTGCATATGTGAGGCCCTGGGTTTGATTCCTCAGCACCACATAAGCAGAAAACAGCCGGAAGTGGCGCTGTGGCTCAAGTGGTAGGGCGCTAGCCTTGAGCTGAAGAGCTGAGGGACAGTGCCCAGGCCCAGAGTTCAGGCCCCACAACCGACCAAAAAGAAAAAAGAAAATCTTAGAGGATCTACATTTATTCTGATTAAAATACACGTGCAAGAAGTGGCGCTGTGGCTCAAGTGGTAGAGCGCTTGCCTTGAGCTGAAGAGCTGAGGGACAGCGCCCAGGCCCAGATTTCAAGCCCCACATCTGACCAAAAAAAATACATGTGCATGAAAAATACCATGGTAAACCCTTGGTACAATGAATATACCCTAAAAATATGAATAATAGGGTAAAACAAGCTCTGTTGGTGGGCAGCATTCAGTGAGGTGGGGGGACTGAATGGAGAGGATGAATGAGGGTAAATATATTCAAAGTACTTTATATGCACAGATGAAAATTGTTGAAACTGTCTTAAGAAAGGGGGCAGAGAGGGCTGGGAAGGTGGCTCAGTGGTAGAGTGCTTGCCTTGCATGTATGAGGCCCTGGGTTCAATTCCTCAGCACTACATACGCAGAAAAAGCTGGAAGTAGCACTGTAGTTCAAAGTGGTAGAGCGCTATCCTTGAGCTGAAGGACAGCGACCAGGCCCAGAGTTCAGGCCCCACCACCGACAAAAAAAAAAAAGAAAGAAAAAAAGAAAAGAAAGGGGGCAGAGATAAGAGAGATTGATAAAGGGGGTGAGGTTGATGGAAAGTATGCATAGAAAAGCCACAATGAAACGCCTTTGTGCAACTGTTTGCTAATAAAAAAATCTCTCCAAAAAAGCTTTAGAGAGCCGGGCGCCGGTGGCTCATGCCTGTAATCCTAGCTACTCAGGAGGCTGAGATCTGAGGATTGCGATTCAAAGCCAGCCCGGCCAAGAAAGTCCGTGAAACTCTTATCTCCAATAAACCACCAGAAAACCGGAAGTGGTGCTGTTGCTCAAGTGGTAGAGCCCTAGTACAGACCACATTTTAAAACCCTTAGAGATGGGCTGGGAAGGTGGCTCAGTGGTAGAGCGCTTGCCTTGCATGCATGAGGCCCTGGGTTCGATTCCTCAGCACCACATAAGCAGAAAAAGCCAGAAGTGGCGCTGTGGCTCAAGTGGTTGAGGGCTCACTTTGAGCTCACTTTGAAAAATAAAAAAAAAAAAAAAAAAAAAAAAACCCTTAGAGAACAAACAAGCATTATGCTTGTAGTTGGCTGTGTAGGGACTATACCAGGAGGATCATTTGAACCCAGGAGTTTCAGGACATATCCTAGTTGTTATATGGTATGTCTTCTCTCTTTTCTCTCTCTCCTCTCCCTCCCTCCTTTTTTTATAGAGGATTGATATGGTGTCACTACCTTTGCTTCAAACTGATTCTGCTCTCTACCTCCCAAGCAGCTGGGATTATATATGGTACTCACCATGTCTGGCTTTTTTTTTTTTCCTGTTTGTGTAGCTTAAACTCAAGGCCTGGTCGTTGTCCCTGAGCTCTTCTTGCTCAAAGCTAGCATTCTACTTTGAGCCACAGCTCCACTTCTGGTTTTCTGGTGGTTAATTGGAGATAAGTGTCTCATGGACTTTCCTGTCCCAGCTGGCTTTGAACCAAGATCCTTAGATCTCAGCCTCCTGAGTAGCTAGGATTACAAGCATGAGCCACCAGCACCTGGATGGTTTGTTTGTTTTGAGGAAGACTCTCCTATGTTGTCCAGGTTTATCTCAAATTTCTGGGATCATGTAGTCCTCCTACCTAAGCCTGTGGCATGCTGGGAGAACATGTGTGCTGCCACAAGACCCAAGAGCTGGTGGCTCATACCTGTAATCCTACTCAGGAGACTGAGATCTGAGGATTGTGGTCCTAAGCTAGCCTAGGCATGAAACTCTGTGACTCTACTCAGAAAAGCTGGAAATGGTACTGTGGCTCAAGTGGTAGAGCACAACAGAGAACTCGCCTTGAGCAAAAGAAGCTCAGGAACAGCACTCTGGCTCAGAGGTAGGAAGGGGGAAGGCAAAAAACCCAAGGCTCATTTCTTATATCTCCAGTGTAAGAGATAGGCTTATAGCTTACCCTCAGCAAATAGCCTAAGAACTGATCAGCTAGTGACAGCATGGGAAAATGCAGCTTATATTAATATCAGAAATTTCTCTTTGTGAGTCTTCCAATTCCATTATGTGGAATAATTGTTATTTACCTTAAATAAAGAAAGGATTGACTGCTCTGAGCAGGGGCAAAGGAATAAAGTGAAAGCAAAATCAGAGTTGAAAGGCTTTATCAGAATGTTAGCAAACACTGTCATGGGTGTGGGGCCCATGATAGTTCATTCCACTATTGATTTTGGATATATTTGAAATTTTCCATAAGAAAAAGTTGGCTTTTTTCTCACCTCCTAAAATACACCAGTTGTCAAGTCAGAGGGAACTGTGGCCTGGGTGAGCTCAGCTAGACCAATGTGATATGCTGAGACAGAAGTTTGGAGATGTCCTTTTGAGATCAGGACATTTTCTATTCGTTGAGTCAAGCACAAAATATTTCTACTACTACACAGTTTCTATTACTGTTCAGAAAATACTTAACTAATACGGTATTTACAGAATTCTTAGTAACTTCTTAGTAGCATAATAGAAAAGACCAGAAACAATGGTTTTAGACTGCTGGGTCTGAGTCCTGCTTCTATGAATTATAAACTATCTGATGTTGGGCAATGCACTTTATCTTTTCATGTGGAGTTTCATCATGATCTTATTAGTAATTTTAGGATGGATCTAAATACTTGAACCATTATCAGGTCCTAGACTGTGGCCTGATTATGTGGTTACTACCCACTCTCTACCCTTTACCTCTTTCTCTTCCAGATAGATGAGCCCCAGTCTCAGGAAGATGAAGTGCATCTCAGTTGCATCTACTACAAAACTAACCGTTCGCTCGTAGCATGCCTTGGCCTCCACATGATTTCCACTCAGAAAATAGAGATGGCCCTTCAAAGCCCAGACATTAGGGTTCTGAGAAAGCAGACAAATAATGCATGAGATGAAGTCATATTTAAAAGTACCTTGATCTGATGGGTGTCCGTGGCTCTTGCCTGTAATCCTAGGTACTCAGGAGGCTGAGATCTGAGGATGTTGTTTTGAAGCCAGCCCAGGTAGGAAAGTCCTTGAGACTCTTATCTCCAATTAACCCACTAAAGCCAGAAGTAGAGCTGTAGCTCAAGTGGTAGAGTGCTAGCCTTATGCAAAAACAGGGTTAGAGCCCAGACCCTGAGTTCAAACTTCAAGACTAGCATGCATGCATGCATCTGCGTGCTCACACACACAAAGTAACTTTGATGACTTTGATTGAACATTTACATTTAGATTAGTAAATCTGTTTCCTTTTTCTAATAGTACCTAGTTATAAACAGGATCATTTAAATACACTGGGAGGTATTTTTCTAGATCTTCCCTCTCCACTTCTTTTTTTCCTTCCTTCATCTCCCCCTTCCACTCTCTCTCTGTCTGTCTCTGTCTCTCTGTCTCTGTCTCTGTCTCTCTCTCTCCCCCTCTCCCTCTCCCTCTTTCTCTCTTTTTTTACATTTTTCAAAGAAGGAGGATTTTGGAGAATGACTACTAAGAAAAACACTGAAGTGGGCTGGGAAGGTGGCTCAGTGGTAGAGTGCTTGCCTCACATGCATGAGGCCCTGGCTTTGATTCCTCAGCACTACATAAGCAGAAAAAGCTGGAAATAACACTATGGCTCTAGTAGTAGAGTGCTAGCCATGAGATGAACCGCTCAGGGACAGTGCCCAGGCCCAGAGTTCAGGCCCCACGACCGGCAAAAAAAAAAAAAAAAAACCAGAAAGAAAGAAAGAAAGAATGAAAGCAAGCAAGCAAGCAAGCAAGCACTGAAGTATAACCAATATAGAAGTCTTAAGCAGGATAGAGAAGTATAGAAAACTAGAACTAGATAAGGCACTGTCTGCTAAAATCTGTCCTTATTTTTCTCTACCTTTGCAAAAGTCATTATTATTTTATAAAAGGAAGGGTAAAGAGAGAAGAGAGATGAGTTTACTAACAACTGATGACCACCACTAGCACCCCCACCCTCACTGGTACCAGAAATCTACTTGTGATATAGTACCATTTTTTTTAAGACAAGGTGTCATCAAGCTGCCAAAACTTCAAATCCTGATTCAAGTATCTTCCTACATCAGCTTCCCAGGTTTCAGAGGCTGAGCCAAGTTAGGGAAATTAAGAGCCAGAGCTAAGAATAAACATGTTATTCTATACCTGGTATAATAAACATGGCACCTGTGGTTCATGCCTGTAATCCTAGATACTCAGGGGGCTGAGATCTGAGGATCATAGTTCAAAGCCAGCCTGGGCAGAAAAGTCCCTGTGAGACTCTTACTTCTAATTAATCACTCAAAAACCAGAAGTGGTGCTATGGCTCAAAGTGGTAGAGCACTAGCCTTGAGCAAAAGAGCTGAAGGATAGTGCTCAGGCTCTGACTTCAAGCCCCACAACTGACAGAAAGAAAGAAAGAAAGGAGACAGAAAGAAAAACAGAAAGACAGAAAAGAAGGGAGGAAGGGAAGAAGGGAAGGAGGGAGGGAGAGAGGGAGGGAAGGAAGGAAGGGAGGGAGGGAGGGAGGAAGGGAAGAAAGAAAGGAAGGTAGGTGCTGGGTGCGGGTGGCTCACACCTGTAATCCTAGCTACTCAGGAGGCTGAAATCTGAGGATCACAGTTCAAAGCCAGCCTGGGCAGTCTGTGAGACTCTAACCTCCAATAAACCACCAGAAAACTGGAAGTGGAGCTGTGGCTCAAGTGGTAGAGTTCTAGCCTTGGGCTGAAGAGCTCAGGGTGCCCAGGCCCAGAGTTCAAGCCCCATGAGTGACCAAAAAAAAAGAAAGAAGGGAGGGAGGTAGGGAGGGAAGGAGGAAAAGAAAGAAAGAGAGAGAGAATATATAACTGGTATAGGCTAGGTATCATGGCACATTCCTGAAACCCAAGAAACACAGGAGATCCCAGTTCAAGGCAAGCCCAGGCAAATCTAGTGACACACCCTTTCAAAAACAGACTGGGCAAAGTGGGGCACACCAGTAATCCCAGCTACTTTGGAGATGGAGGTAGAAGAATCATGGTCTGAGGCTAGCCAAGCAAAGCTAGCAAGACTTTATCTGAAATACTAAAAGCATAATGACTTGGGGCAGGTCTCAGTATAGAGTACTTAAAACTCAGTACCTGAAAAATAAAAACAAAACAAAACAAATTCTTGTATAGCAAGATACAGACACCTAGGTCAAAAGATCCTCTCATTTGTAAGGCCATCTGGGATTCCATAGCTCAATGCTTGAATGATAACCTCAAAACTTTCCAACAGTTGATTGACTGTTAACAAGTGCCAAGGGACATGAATAACACATGTCCCTAACCTACTTTAGTTAGTAATGACCCAAGGTTAGTAAACTAATCAGACTTAATATCTCAGGATCAAAATAATATAACAAGAATGACAAGCATCTGAGGTGTCCACAATGAAGAGGAGCACTTATCCTAAGGCAAGTTTAAGTTAACCCTCCAACCACTTTTCACCACAAATGCACCTGATGTTAGAGTTCATGGCACCTCTCATGAAATGCACCCATACCTATTATTGGGTGTGTATATATCACCTTCCCTTTGCTTTCCTTTATTAATAAACATTTCACTTCATGACTTGTTCAGAAATTCTTATTCTGCAATGGAAGGACCACCACAGATTCCCACCAACTTCAGAGACAGGTCTACAGGCACACATTAGCATGCCCTGCTGGCTTCACTTAGTTTGGGGGGTGTGTGTGTGCACAAACACGTGCATGTGTGTGTGTGTGTGTGTGTGCATGGTGCATACTAGTCCTGAGGCTTGAACTCAAGGTTTAGGCATTGTCTTTGAGCTTTTTTGCTCAAGGTTGGTGCTCTACCACTTGTGCCCCAGCTCCACTTCCACTTTGGTGGTTAATTGGGGATAAGAATCTCACGATTCCCTGCCTGGGATGGCTTTTGAACCATGATCCTCTGATCTCAGTCTCCCAAGAAGCTAGGATTACAGGCGTGAGCCACCAATGCCTGGCTGGCATCATTACCTTTCACGGAGCCCTGTTTTCCCTTCATCCACCAAGAAGCCCTAGTGAAAGCCATTACCAGATAATCCATTTGCGCTGCTTGCTGAAGACATTCCTCTGTCTTGGCAAAATCCTTCTTGAGAAGGTGTGTCTGGGCCAGCACCAAGTAATACTCACAGCTGGGGCCTCCTTGAGGACATAGTAGCTCATGTGCAAGCACTCTGTGCACATACTACAAGGAAATTAGATTTTATGAAGAACATGGAAATGGCTTCATATTGCCAGTCCCATTGCTTTTGTGGTTGAAGTAGTCTCACTCAAATAATGAGTACCATATAGATTGAAGATTTATACTTATAGAACATAGTGATTGTCCTCAACCTCAGATGGTTAAGGGTGATTACATTCAGCACTTCATATCTCATCACCAATTACTACTCAGTCAACAAGTGTTGGCATGTTGAAGTGAATAACCCACAATACTGCACAATTCTGGTCTTGATGGCCATCACACAGAGTTTTAGACTACTTTTTTTTTCCTTTTGCTATTGGCATACATTAGTTGTATAAGAGGGTTTCATTTAACATTTGCAAACATGTATACATTGTGTCTCAATCAATCCGATCCCATTCCTCCTTCAAACAATTTCAATGGGGTTCATTGTTTTATTTTCATACATGCAAACAAACAAACCCTTTGAACCATATTCACCCTCATTCATCCTTTTGGTTAGCCCTCTCCTTAGGTTTATTATGCAGCAAACCAAGGTACCTAATCAACCACCCCATTTACACACACCAGTAACATTTCCAGACAGCTATCCTTGAAGGAAACTTAAGGCGAGGTAAAACTTGTCCTGCCAAAATTCAAGACTTGGGATCTTGGAAACATAAATAAATGTTCATGTTTACCAGTTTTGTATTTGGAGGTATTATTTTTAAACTTTAAAAAACCCATAAATGTGGCAAAGTCAGCTTGAACTTGGTAAATGGGAGGGAAACCCTTCTTTTGTCATCTGTCCTCTCTTCACAAAAGATGTAGAAACCTCCACTAACACACCTCCTTAGGGAACTAGGAGGGTGTGACTGCAGCTTTTCTACTTCTCTCCGGTTCTCTGACTTGGGATAATGACTTACTTAACTCTACGGGAAAGGTAAATATGCTACAAATTCCTGTTTAATGTGATCCAATGCCACCCAGTTTGTAATTCTTGTTCTTTCCTGCCTCTCAACTGGGGGTATGAGCTCTGCAGGATCAGGATCAGCTCCCTTGTTCCTGGATCTTGCTGTCTCTCTCGCTGCTTTCTCACAAATATGCTTCTGCTTTTTCTTCATCTTTTTTTCCCAGTGTTGGGGCTTGAACTCAGGGCCTGGCCACTGTCCCTGAGCTTCTTTTGCTCAAGGCTAGTACTCTGCCACTTGAGTCACAGTGCCACTTCTGGCCTTTTCTTTTTTTAAGGTACTGAGGAATCGAACCCAGGGCTAAATGCATGCTAGGCAAGCACTCTACTGCTAAGCCATATTCACAGCCCCAAATATGCTTCTTAATTCCCAGATATCAGGCAGACCTCATCATTTAGGCTCCTCTGATAAAAGGCCACAATTCTCCAGCTGCTTTCCTTGTGACTGCATGGCTAAGTCAAATGTGGGATTAGTCATATTTTTAGACAAGTTTTACCAATAAAATAATAACTTACTATCTAACACTCCCATATAGCATTGTTTATCTCTTTTCAATTGGTCAACATTTGGAAGGGGAAAAGGATATCCCATCACTCATATAAGTTCCCATAAGAAAAGGTGAGAACAGGGTACATACACCTTAGAGAAAGGTTTTGTTCGCTGGTATTCTATAATGAGCAGATTTGCAGTGAGGTTGCATATTCCACCAGCAGAGTGGTTCACATTTGGATGTGTCCTTAAAGTGTGCTCTTAGAAGTATACTTGAAGAGGTGTAAGTGTAGCTCAGTGTTGAGCTTTAACATGCATAAGGCCTTTGATTTAGTCCCCAGCACATTTATGTGCACACATGCATGCACATACACACATTTGATTTCTGCTTCATATGTGTTTTAGCTTGCAAACATCCCACTATGGATAGAATAAATAGGTCACTACAGTTTTTCCATCATTGCCCTTTTCAAAGTATCCTGACCTGTACAGCATTGACTTTCATCAAGAAGCGTATGGTCTCCATGAAGACTGTGGTATGAGTTTGGGGAACACTACTAGGGGGTGGATGCAGAAAAGCTGGCGAATCTTGACATTTTGATGCTTCTGAAAATATTATATTAAAGGAATAGAAAAACATACATAAAGAAAAAAATGTCAAAATGTCAGGCACACTAATTTGTATACAGAGTACTATGATCTAATATGTACGAATGACCATAATCTACAAAGCAGTAGATATTGCTAGCAATGGTTCCCAGACAAGAAAACTGTTTCTCAAGGTATGTATACTGGCAAGTCACAACCAAATGAAAAGGTTTCCAAAAAGGGTTCAGATCGGGATGGGAAGGGGAAACAAAGGAAGAGGCTACAATAAGAAATGTACTCATTATCTTGCCCATGTAATTGTACCCCCTCTGTACAGTATTTTCACAATTAAAAAATAGGGTTCAGATCTCTGACAGCAAAAAAAATTATAGATAAAAAACTGAAGATTTATAGAAATGGAAAATTACATGTTTGTTTGTTTTTTTGCTACATCTGTGAGCTAAATAAAAAATCCTTGCTTACTGAAGGCATTATAGATGAGTGCTGATATCTGGAATCCTAGCTATTCAGGAAGCTGAGAGCTGGAGAAGTTCAATTCATAGCCATCCTGAGCAGAAACGTCCATAATACGCCATCTCTAATTAATCAGTAAAATGCCAGACTGGAGGCATAGCTCAAGTGTTAGAGCAACAGCCATGAAATCAAACAAGCCAAGTGAAAGCAGAAGACCCTGAGTTCAAGCCATGGTACTGGAAAAAAGTTATATCACTGAGTTTGAATTTTGGAGTCTAAACTAATCTGAGGGAATATAGCCAAAATGATTTGTGAACCAGTCAAGATGGCCACTTTAATAATCATAAAAAATTTCATCCTTGCCTAGTTTATTTATATATCCCTCTTTGAAGTAGTAATCTTTAATCCTAATTACCTTTTTTGTTCAATGTGGTATCCTTTAAAACCATGCTAGATGTATTTGGGCCAATAACTGGATCTAGAGATTGCTTCATTGTAATGGGTTCTCGTGACTCAGACTGCAGTTTAGAAGATTCTTCAACAAATTCATCTACAATAGATAATGTAGCTGCTGCTCCTAATGAATATTAATGAAAACAAAAATCTTCTTTCCTTGGGTATATAAAAGGTTATCAAAGCAGATATAATATACAAAGCATAAGAAACATATTCCATAAATTTTGCATAAAAATAGTCTTGCTTGGTGGACATTTCTGAATAGTTTAAAGAACACAACCTCACACCTTCTGTGCAATTAGTGACTGCCCTCCAGTACAACCTAGCTAGTCCCAGTCACACTAATGTTAAATAGACTATTATAAAAGTTACATGTTAAAGCTAGAATCGGAAGGATCCAGATTAGAAAAATGATTACATTTTAGATAACATTATTTTAAAATAAATTTTATTAAGATTAAGTGATTACATAAATTTCACAAATTTCACAGTATTGTGAGATACTAATACTTAAGGTCACAACCACATTTGCAACTTCACAAGTCAAATTGTCATTATCATGGTCTATAATGTTTGTGAATTCTATGAGCTTCGACAATACAACTATTTCTTCCACATTGGGTGATAGGTACATTTCTTTCCTTTTGCTTAGTGTCAGCTGTTCCCTCTTTCCAAACTCTCATTCCCTCCTTCCCATTGCTGCCCTTGAGTTGCTTGCTTCACTTTCATCAATGCCCAGTGCAGCTGATGGGCCCTCTGCTGTATTTTTTTCAATTGTTTCCCTCTGATTCTGTGTCCTCCTCCTAGCTTCCCTCAGATGTGTGTGCGCATGCGCGCGCGCGCGCACACACACACACACACACACACACACACACACACACACACACCATATATGTGGTCAAAAACATGGAGTCATTCAGAAATGACATGACAAATTGAACGGAGTCCTTTGTTTCTTGAGTCCTATTTACTTTGTCATATCTCCTTGCATTTTGGATTTAACATCTACCTGTCAGGGAGACAATGTGCCATTTGTCTCTCGGCTCTTGGCTTACACCACTCAAAATTATTTGTTCTAGTTCCATCAATTTCCCTGTGAATGCCATTATTTTGTCCTTTCTAATGGTGGCATAATATTCCATTGTATATAGCTACCACAATTTTTTGATCCATTCATCTGTAGTGGGGCATCTGGGTTGTTTCCATATCTTGGCTATTGTGAATAGTGCAGCAAGGAAGATGGAGGTGCATGTGTCCTTGTATCCTGGTTCCTGTTGCTCAGGTAGATGTCTAGGAGTGGTAAGGCTGGGTGGTATGGAAGATCTGTTTAGTTTTCTGAGGAACCTCCAGACTGCTTTCCAGAGTGGTTATATTAGTGTACATTCCCACCAGCAGTGCACTAGGGTTACTCTTACTCTGCATCTCTGCTAGTATTTGTCATTGTTTGAATTTAGGATATAGGCCATTCTGACTGGTTGTTTTTATTTGCAGTTCCTTTACAGCCAGGGATGATGAACATTTCCTCATGTGTTTCTTTGACTTTTTTTGTTTGTTTGTTTGTTTTGGGTCCAGTCGTGGGGCCTGAACTCTGGGCCTGGGCACTATCCCTCAGCTCTTCAGCTCAAGGCTAGTGGTCTACCACCTGAGCCACAGCGCCTCTTCTGGCTTTTTTTCTTTTTGCTTCTGTGGTGCTGAGGAATCAAACCCAGGGCCTCAGGCATGCAAGGCAAGCGCTCTACCACTGAGCCACTTTCCCAGCCCTTTCTTTGCCATTTTTATCTCTTCTTCTGAGACGTCTCTCTTTAGTTCCCTTACCCATTTCATGATTGGTTTGTTAGATTTGGGAGGGATTAGTTTCTTGACTTCCCTGTGTATAATGGATATCAGGCCCTTGTGTGATATATTGCTGGTAAATATTTTTTCCCAATTAGTTGACTATATTTCTAGTTTGGTTGCTATGTCTTGAGCTGTGCAGAAACTTTTTATTTTAAGGTAGTCCCATTTGTCCAGTCTCTCTCCAATTTGTTGTGACTCTGGGACTCTGTTCAGGAAGTTCCTGCCTGTGCCTATAAGTTCAAGTGTCTCTCCTACTCTGTCCTACAGTAGATTCAGAGTTTCAGGTTTGACGTTAAGGTCTTTAATCCATTTTGCATTTGTTAGTGTATGGTGATAGGCTGGGATCCACTTTTAGTTTTCTGGATGAGGCCGCCCAGTTTTCCTAGCACCAGTAGTTGAAGAGTCTATGCTTCTTCCCCTGTATGTCTTTGGCTCCTTTGTCCAATATCAGCTGACTATTGGTATGTGATTTTATTTCTGGATCTTCTAATCTGTTCCATTGGTCTTTGGATCTATTTTGTGCCAATACCAAGCTGTCTTTGTTATTATGGCTCTATAGTAAAGCTTGAAATCTGGTATTGTGATCCCTCCCACATTGTTTCTTTTGCCTAGAATTGCTTTGGCTATTCTAGGTCTTTTGTTGTTCCATATGAATTTTTGGTTTGTTTTCTCTATTTCAATAAAAGGATTTTAATGGGAATTGCATTGAATTTGTATATCATTTTTGGCAGTATGGCTATTTTCACTATATTAATTCTGGCTATCCAAGACATGGAAGGTCTTTCCACTTCCTGGTGTCCTCTATGATTTCTTTCTTTAAGCTTGTATAGTTTTCACTAAATAGGTTTTTAATATCTTTGTTAGGTTAATTCTTAGTTTTTTTTTGAGGTTATTGTGAATGAGGTTGTTTTCCTGATTTCCCTTTCTGCTTGTACATTGTTGGTGTACAGAAAGGCAACTGATTTGGGGGGGTTAATTTTGTATTCTGGTACTTTGCCAAAGTGGTTTATTAGTTTTAGGAGTTTGGGAATGGAGTTTTTGGGATCCTTATAGTATAATATCATGTCATCTGCAAACAGGCATAGCTTAATTTCTTCCTTCCCTATGTGAATCCCTTTAATATCCTTTTATTGCCTTATTGCTCTGGCTAAGGATTCCAAAACTATATTGAAGAGGAGTGGGGAGAGTAGGCATCCTTGCCTTGTTCCTGATTTTAGAGAAGGTTGTAGTTTTTCCCTATTTAGCATAATATTAGTTGTTGGCCTGTCATATATGGCTTTTATTGTTTTAAGAAATGTTCCTTCTACTCCAATTTTCTCCAGAGCTTTTAAAATGAATGGACACTGTATTTTATAAAAAGCCTTTTCTGTGTCAATGGAGACAATCATGTGGTTCTTGACCTTGGATCTGTTGGATGTGATAGATTACATTTAATGATTTATGTATGCTAATCCATCCCTGTATCTCTGGGATGAAGCCTACTTGATCATAATGTATGTTTTTGATTCTGCTGGCCAAAATTTTATTGAGAACTTTTGCATCTGTGTTCATTAAAGAGATTGGTCTGTAGTTCTTTTATGTTGGATCTTTGGTTTGGGGATGAGTGTGATACTGGCTTCACAGAATGAGTTTGGGATTGCTCCCTCTGTTTCTATTTCTCAAAGAGTCTGAGGAGTATGGGTATTAGTTCCTTTTTAAAGGTCTTATAGAATTCCCTAGTGAATCCATCTGGTTCCTGGGCTTTTCCTTGTTCGAAGATTTCTGATCACTTCCTCTATCTCATTGTAAGATATTGGCTTATTTGGTTTATCTTTTCTTGGTTCAGTTTGGGCATTTTGTATTTCTCTAAAAATTCATTCATTTCTTCTAGGTTTTCCTTCTTTAACGAGTATAGATTCTGGAAGTTGTTCTTTATAATTGTTTGGATGTCCTGGATGTTTGTTGTAATTTTTTCTGGGACATCCCTGATCTTACTGATTTGGGTTCCTCTCTTCTTTTTTAAATCTTGTCAGAGGTCCATCAATTTTATTCATTTTTTTAAAAAAAATAGCCTTTTGTTTTTATTAATTTTAATAGTTTTCTTAGTCTCTATCTCATTAATTTCAGCTCTTATTTTGGTTATCTTGCTCCATCTAGTAACTTTGGGTTCACATTTTTTCTTGCTTTTCTAGCAGTTTTAGTTGCACCATGAAATTATTTATTTGGTCTATCTCTATTTTCTTGATGTGTACACTGAGATTTGGTCTATATTTTCTTTTCTTTTCTTTTTTTTAACTGTATTTTTTTGTCTTTTCTTTTCTTTTTTTTTTTTTTTGGTACTGGGGATCGAACCCAGGACGTTGCACTTGCTAGGCAAGCACTTTGCCACTGAGCTACATCCCAGCCCTATCTCTATTTTCTTGATGTGTACACTGAGAACAATAAATTTGTCCCTCAGGACTTCTTTTGTTGTGTCACACAGGTTTGTTTGTGATGTCTACTCATTTTCATTGAATTGTAGGAACTTTTAAATTTCTTCTTTAATTTCTTCTGTTATTCAGGTGATATTCAGTAGCATACTGTTCAGCTTCAATGTATTTGAGTAATTTCTGCAGCATGCTTTGTTGTTGAAAACTAGCTTGATTCCACTATAGCCAGATAGACTACAGGGGATTAAAGCTGGGTACCAGTGGCTCACACCTATAATCCTAGCTACTCAGGAGGCTGAGATCTGAGGATCATGGTTCAAAGCCAGCCCTGGCAGTATAGTCCATGAAATTCTTATCTTGAATAAACCACTAGAAAACAGGAAGTGGTGCTATGGCTCAAGTGGTAGAGCACCAGCCTTGTGTTTTTTTTTGTTTTGTTTTGTTTTTGTCAGATGTGGGGCCTGAACTCTGGGCCTAGTCCTGGGCACCTCAGCTCTTCAGCTCAAGGATAGCTCTCTACCACTTGAGGCGCAGTGCCACCTCCAGCATTTTCTGCTTATGTGGTGCTGAGGTATACAACTTAGGGCCTCATGCATGCAAGATGAGCACTCTACCACTGAGCCACCTTCCCTGCCTGCTAGCCTTGAATTGAAAAGCTGAAGGACAGAACCCAGGCCAGAGTTCAAGCCCCAGGATTGACAGAAAAACAAAAACAATACAGAGGATTATGTCGATCCTCTTGTATTTGTTTAAATTCTTTGTTTGAACTATGATATGATCTATTTTGGAGAAAGTTCCATGGGTTGCTGGTAAGAATGTGTACTGGGTCATTGTTGGGTGGAAAACTCTGTAGATGTCAATTCAGTCCACTTGAGAT